TGCACCCGGTGATGGGACATCACTGTTTCAAAAGGGGCAGCGGGGTGGGGTGTAGGTGGGGGGCTGGCTAACCTCCCCATGTCCTAAAATGAAATGGGTCGACTCTTATTTATTTACAGCATGTTTTGCACTCATCCCATAACACTGTAAATTACCTGCATGGTCAAGGCTCCTTTCTCAGGCAAGGAGAGATGAGAGCAAAGGACATAAAACATGTGATCTATACGATATTTAATTCAGGAATCACATATGATCTGTCAATTTCCATATATCATGCTTTATGAGTCATATTTTAAATACAAAATCACGTTTGTGAATATAAATGTGTGAATTACGAGCGGTCATATGTGTTATATGATGTACAATACGTCTATAGGACCCAGACAGAGTGTCTTGCCAATATTTATGAGATTTCTACAGTATATCTCGTAAGAGGATAAGGGATGGGTGATTTCCTCGCCGGGGTCTTACGTGGTTGATCACAGATCTATTTCTCCCAGCATGCGGTCTCATCGCGCTGTTGACTGTTTGACTCCCAGTTCATCTCTCTGAAATGCAAATGACACGAAAATGTAAGCAAGGATGATCACAATAAAGAAGATGATGCATTGTGTTTTATGACCTGAAATGCGCCATGAGATTTATTGTTATAAAACATGTCGGAGTTAGGTTTGTTTGATACAAGAAAGCCTGACACTCACTTGAACTTAATTATACGGCAAAGCAGCGATGGAGACAGAGGTGTGTGTGTGTGTGTGTGTGTGTGTGTGTGTGTGGTGTGTGTGTGTGTGTGTGTGTGTGTGTGGTGTGTGTGTGTGTGTGTGTGTGTGTGTGTGTGTGTGTGTGTGTGTGTGTGTGTTGTGTGTGTGTGTTTGTGTGTGTGTGTGTGTGTGTGTGTGTGTGTGTGTGTGTGTGTGTGTGTGTGTGTGGTGTGTGTGTGTGTGTTGTGTGTTGTTGTGTGTGTGTGTGTGTGTGTGTGTGTGGTGTGTGTGGTGTGTGTGTGTGTGTGTGTGTGTGTGTGTGGAATTCCATCAGAGGGAACTCTCTTGGGACCTGGTCTCTAGCTGAAAAAAGGCAGGGGCCTCCTCTATTATGGCAAACAAGTGCATTTGCTTTAAGGCCAGTGGAGATTTCTAACCTTTGCTTGACATGCCCGAAAAGGTCAGGCCCATCTGTGGTTTCCCCTCTGGAGTTGAGCCTGACCATTTCCTCGCCGCTCTTTTGGACCCCAGGAAAGCCCCGGATCCACGGTACCATCGAGATACTGTATAGTGCAGAAGGATAGTTGGCAAATGACATGTGACAAAGTGTCTTTCTGGTTAAATCACGGCTCATTCATGTTTTAGACTAGTAAGATTAGCAAGAAAAAACAAGGACGATTAATCATGTAAAATAGCAAATCTAAAGAAATATCAGATATCAAAAATATTGTATTATCTGTGTTCTGATTTTAAAGATCCAAACATGCCCAGAAAATATGAGCAATCACACCTGTACACTTAGATGAAGCAAATGGCTTAATATAATTCAAAACGCAGGCCCCGACCCTCCGTAATGACAGGGTAATTGTGTTAAACGCCTGTGAAGTGAGCACACACACAGCACCCTGTGTGAGTTTTTCTCCATTTGATGGACGTATCCATGCTTATCAATGTTCCTTATCTACCTTCATTATTTCCAAACCAGTGGTTAAATTGGAAAAGCCCATAAGAACGCGTGAATACATGGCAGAGGCAATAAAACAGTAGGGGAAGAAGAGGCCCCCCAACATCCCACAGCAGTGTTTTCCTTGGGTGGAGGGAGATACATTCAGCTGATAGTTGGAAATATTTCCCCCCCCATCGCTTCATATCAGTGAGCCGCACAGATAAAGATACAGTTGGGCAAATAAATCTGGAATGAAGGAAGAAAACCCTTCACATGCAGTTATCTTGTGTGTGTGGTGTGTGTGTGTGTGTGTGTGTGTGTGTGGTGTGTGTGTGTGTGTGTGTGTGTGTGTGTGTGTGTGTGTGTGTGTGTGTGTGTGTGTGTGTGTGTGTGTGTGTGTGTGTGTGTGTGTGTGTGTGTGTGTGTGTGTGTGTGTGTGTACCAGCTTTCTCACAGTGCTTCTGTTCTTACAATGTTCAAGTGTAATGGAACAAGTGATTTTAGCTAAAAGGAGTATTTTCTCCGCAGTGTTGTGTGGTCTCACCCTCTCAGCCATTCTGTGTGGTATGCTTTTTGGGTTTGCTTCATTTGATATCAGCTGAATCAACTCTTCTGAAGGACCAGTACCACAGTTTGGCCCAGAATTGTCTCATTGAATCCTTTTTTTAGCTCCAGAATTTAGTTTGACAATATAAAAAGTGGGTGTTTAATCTACTCTTATACCAGAAGACTTGTCTTTCAATGTGTGATTGTGTAATGGTCTGATAACAATTTTAACCATAGTCATTTGACAAACTGGAACAAAGGTCCACTGTAGCCACTTGTTTTTTTTAGTACAGCAGCTCAGTCGTGCATTAAGTGGTGAGCAGAGCAGGCGTGTAACCTGATAAATGCACTTAAAACAGTGAAGATGGACAATGAGAGGGCGAAATCTCAGATGGCCCCGGCCTGTGTGCCTGCTAGGCACTTTGACAGCCTATTGATCAGCCAAAGAGAGTCTTGGGCAGGGTCAAAGGTGTGAGGATGCATGGCTCTGATACCGCCACTGGGACAGGTACAGGACGGCAGTAACCAGGATCTGTTAGGAAATAGATCTACTCTTGAGCCGGTTGCATTGTCCTTTTGTTGAAGATGGGACTCGTTGTTGACCGCTGGCACTCGCAGTGTTCTCTGTGGACACGGGTGAAATTTCCCCTCCAATATAATACACACAACAACAATAATATAGCAATCTGTCGGTTTTTTCAAATTGATGTGACGTAATGTTTCTGTCTGGGACATTGATAGCCCACGGTTGTGAAAATGCCCAGCTCCTGTTATTGAATAGTAATAGGCTTGTCGGCCGGTGCCTCCAATTTCACAAATGGAGCAATAAATACACATAACGGAATCAGTGGAACAATAAGAATGCCCATAAATGATGGTTGTGCCTCAAAAACAAGGAGGAGGGCGTAGGGAGGGGGAGGCAAAAGGAGGAGGGGTCCAAAGAAAATTTGACAAAGGAAAGAGATGAAAAGTTTGTGTGTGTAAGGGAGAAAGAGAGAGAGAGAGAGAGAGAGAGAGAGAGAGAGAGAGAGAGATGGTGGCCCACTCTTCATTTCTGTGCCACAAGCTCTCCTGGGCTTTTGCGTGCTCCGTTTTCAACCTAAGTGTAATTTGAGCCCTGGGTTGATACAAAGTGTATGCAGCAGCTCTGTTCAAACCCAATCACTCACCCTGACGTGTAATCCTTTCCCTCACCATCATCAACGTTGCTTTGGGAATAATGAAACACACTTAAGCAATACACGGCAGTCATACAGCTGCGCGAGGGGCCGCATCTTGATGAGATGCCTCGTAACTCTAATGAAAGGTGTTTTGACCTGCCAATGGAGGTAAATGATTGCCTTGCTACTGTATCTGTGGGAAACGTATTGATGGCAATATCTGGTCCAAATGGAGGATTTGAATGGAAAACGAGTCGCCCTTTACTTTTAAAAACACACAGACCGTGCTCTACATGTTATTTGTGTGGGACCTCTTTTTTCCTCCCCTTTTCATCCTCCAGTCATCTTGTCTTGTGATGCCATTGTTTCCACAAAGAGGATTATTACAATTAATTGGTTAGCAAGACATTATTTCAAAAAGGGAAATTGGCTCTTATAATTATAGAGAAGGGAATACTTTAACTCCCTGGAATATCAGCTTCCTGAAATAATGGAGCTACAGCCCCTCGCTTCTCCCCCACCTCCACCAGCGTGTCTGTCTGCCTGTTTCCTGTGACGGATCCATTTTCAACAGCTCCTGGACCTGCAGTAGCTGGGGGGGGGGGGCTGGATGGTTAGAGGCGGCTGGATGGTTAGAGGCCTTCGTGAATCTTCCACTGGTGTGCCTAGCTTACTACCACCCATCTGGGGTCTGTTGGGAGCACTGGTCTGCTCTTTGTTCTTTCTCATTGCTAAACTCCCTGTGTTGTGTGTGTGTGGGAATGGCCATAGTACAATGGGTACATAAATATGCTAAGCCGAGGGAAGGGTTAGAGTAAAGGTTGCTCATAGTTTTAGTAAACGTTCTCCTATTTACTTATACGGTAAATAATGTAATGCCAAGAGATGATAATATAGATGTATTCAGCTGTTGGTCCATCACTCTGGTCCAGAATGGAATATCTCAAAAGCAATAAGATGGATTTCCTTGAAATGTTGTACATGGTACCCAGACAATGTATCAAAATGGCGTGAATGGTGATCCTTGCCTTTTCCTGGAGCTCCATAAGCAGGTAAAATGTTCACTTATCAGTTGAAATAAATGTAAAGGATATGTTTTGTAGACATTCATGGTTACCAGATGATTTATCCAAAGGACTTTGGTGATCCTCTGACTTTCTCCACTGCCACTATGAAGTTGACATTTTGTGTTTTTTTTATGTCTAAATCATTTTTGATGAATTGCCAGGACATTTGGTTTGCTACAGACATTCATTCTGTAATAACAAAAAGCTTCCTTAAACTTCCTTCTAGCACTCTCATCATGTAAACATTTCAACGTGTCCAATTCTTTGGTTGGTGACCAAATACTTTCAAAACGAATGCCCTTCCCATCAGCCTTATGTGCTAATTAGCATTTGAAACATTGCTTGTATCTACTGTTAGCTTAAACATTGTTTGCTTGTACTGGTTGAATCTGTTTGAAATAACTTTTCATTTTAGTAGCTGGCTTTAAAACTTGTTTTTAAGTCCAAACACAAAACAAATCACAGAGTTCAGGTAGTATTTAATTCATTTATCCTTTACCTTTTTGAAAATCAAAACGTAAAAGTTACACAGATATTGGTGATTCAACGATCAGAGATATCAATGTACATCATGGCCAAATTATATATTTCACACCATAAATACTCAAAGCACAGAAGCAGGAAATCAGTCCCCTGCCCCTGTCTGCAATTTGTCATCAAGGGACCAATTCTGACACATAAAAACACATACCCGCTTAGTAGCCAACATGGGTGTCAAACCCACTGATGGCCAAGTTGTGTGGTCAACGTGAAGCATGCTTTACCTTTACAAACAGATCTATGAAGAATGAGTGGGAAAAGAAGATCAGTAAATATACATTACAAATATTTTGGCAGGAGCACTGAGGGGAACAGGTTTTGGATGGAAACGGGTGGCTCAGTTATGTCACAGACGTGTGAGTGTTGAATCAGAGAAATATTGACAATATGATAATGAGGTAGTAGTCAGCGGAGCGCTGCATACTTTATTTTCAATGGTATTTCGGCAACCTACTGTACTGACGCTGATATATTTACACACTTAGACACAGTTTGTAATGTAAGACATGTTCTTTTTTTACTTAACGCAGTGCCATATTGCAAGGTAAAAAGAAAGAAAGGGAGATGAGAGAACTCCCGTTAAAATTATTCTTTTGGCTGATCATCTTGGGCCACTACAAAATTCTAGTTGTAAAGATTTTCTGCAAAAGTTTTCATTTATATTGCACTTTTATTGAAACAAGCACAAAAGTATTTTATCAGTGGAGCAAATCAAATATAGTTATTCTGCTGTACAGTTTACATGTTTCTGATCCGAGGGATTTAGAATATGTCACTTAATAAGCAACAGATTCTGCCAAGTCCAAGTAAAAGCATGCTTTTAGCATGGTTCCAGTCAGAATTGGTCCCTGTTGCATTGCACAACAGTAAAATCAGGTTATATTGCCACCCTCTACTGTGGAGCTTTTGAGCTGGACGGCAGCTGGTTCAAGTTGGGGTGATTGGGTGCTGGAGTGGATCTTCTTCCTGCATTACGTGGCCAATCAGGCTGCTATATAAAAGGAATGCCGGCCACTAGATCAGTGCTGGCCATTGATATCCCAAGCATGGCGGCAACTCTACCCTACTGCAATGTCAGGGATTCCTTTGATCACAGTATCATATTATTGTGACAGTGCCACAATTTATCACATAAAATCCTTCAGTAGTATAAGCATTCACCTCCAGCACATTCTCTCTCATATTGAGACGAGAGGCATGGCCCTGCTGGACTGGACTCCAGCATTACTCACACCCAGTGGAACGGACTAAACACAGGGAGAAGGGAGGCCCAGATCTCCCCCCCACCGCGGATCACACCTTGTACTGACACACTGTTGGGTTGCTGTTACCCTTAGGAGCGTGCTGACACTTTGTTTTCTTGCATAGCTATTCACATGTGCGTGCTCAGGCATCCGGACGTCTCCTCGCAGATGCCTGCCTGCCTCTTGGCCGGGTGGAGGAGTGTTACTCTGCACTGGCTGGTGTGTCAACATGAGGTCAAGAAGAAGTGTGTCTACAGTACGGCCGCGCAGACAACAACCTCCCGCTGGGGTTAAAAATAAACCCAGTGTGAAATGCCACCACTCCCGCTCTGCACCTGCCATTTACCTCTGTTTGGTCGGAGCTCTATAAATGCTGGCACAGCTATTAAAAGACGAGAGGTGTCTAAAATGGTGAGAGCAGATGCTGGGCACCTTGCTCCTTGTGTGTGGGATGACTCTGCCACGGGCTTAAAGGGGCCCAAAATAGAGCGGTTGACATATGGGCCTCTGATTGTTTGAACAAGGAATCTCCTGGACTTCTGCCAGTCGGCATAAATCCTTTGATACTGCCACACCAAACACGCTGATCATCTTTCACCTAGCCCGAATCAGGTCATCTATTTGCATGCCAAGTGGCAATTTCCATGGGCTTAAACAATGACCAAATTTGGGGTTCAATGGGTTACGTGACACAAGCCGCTACAAGGGTAGGAGGAACACTAGTGTGCAGCGGTGTGTCCCACTGGTGGGACTGAGATACACAGGCATGGTATAGGAACAGCAGCATTGAAAAGCACGTGAACACATGAAAGATAGGAGGTTAAGCCTGACTTCTCCACAGCTCCCTTTATTGCTGAGTTAATACAGAATAAGACGACTAATTGTACCTGCCTATGCTAGTTAGGTTAAACATGGGACCAGCAAGTCTTCCAGTATGAGACAGATCCACACAGATCACACGGCTCTGGAGAGGTATATCCAAGGACATTTAAACTGATAAGAGTTCACATTTAGGTAACCATTTTAATTCTTTTTTTTAATCCCAGGAGAACTAGAGAAAATGGCAACCAAGTTCACCAGACTTTAAACTGTACACTCAGTCTTCCATTAATAAATATATACACGTCCTGGTCAAGTCCAGGAAAAGAAATCACAACTGAGACAAGTGAGTCTGTTTATGGTTGTTGACACCTCCGCTGTCTTCAGATCAACTTAAGGAACTTTTAGTTCTCCGGAAAGAAAACCTTCTTGTTCTCAAGAACTGGCAACTACTTATTCTGAAGATGCTGAGGGGCAGAGGGGTCCTTCATCATATACAGCATGACCACTGACAATTAACAAAAACCAACAAAAAGTATTACTGTACATAGTATTTCTTATATATTTTAAATTAATCTGCATCATTTTTATATTTATACTAATAACCAAGTTTTGCATTTTTTTTCTTTAGTGTCCCAGGGTTCCAGGGGGAGGGATGAGAGAAGGTCAGTCTCTCTGCTGCTGAGCACAGTCAGTGGGGGTCTCCTTCTCCTGGGGACCCTCAGCCTTGGTTCAAGTCACTTTCTGTATCGCTAACGCAGCCCTCTGCTGTCGCCGTGGCACACCAGCCTCCCTCCGATCAGACCTTGGCCTCCGATCAGACCTTGGCCTCCAGCATCTCCAGGAACAGTTTGTGCATGGGCACCTTCCCCTGCACTTTGATGCTGTAAAAGTGCTGCACCGCCTTGGTGGCCGTCTGCCGCAGCAGAGGGAGGGTCATGAGCAGTTTGCCGGCCCGCCGAGGGTCCTCCGGGTGCTGGGCTCCCTCGTAGTCCTGCAGGGCCTCGTGCAGGGCGTCCTGCAGCTTCTGCACCGCCTCCATGTCCTCTATGTGCATGGAGTCTGACGGGACAAGAAGAGAAAGGAGCATGAAGATTGATGGCATTTTTTGAAATTTGACAAGAGGAGAAAAGTAACCTGTAGTGTTGTTTGCACTTGGAGACACTGGTAATATAACAAGAATGATAGTAAATGGATTTTTCTAAAAATTAAATCTCATGATTGATCTTTACAGCTCTGTCCGAAGCAGTAAGATAGGGAACACATTATCAGTATAACTCACACCGTGACAAGATAAAGAATAGATCATAAAAAAGAATTTAACAACATCTGCTTTATTTCTTTATTTAGTCTTGGGAGGACTGGGTGGGATATTCATACGGCCCTTGACCAGCGAGACTGAAAATCAATGTTATCCTGCAGTAACAATGGCATGAATAGCACCCAATCTGTTCTGAGCGAGTACACATTAAACACCCCACTGTTCCAAAGGACAGATTGTTTACGGACAAAAAACAACAAGGAAAAGAAAGGGGCTCCATTAGAGAATTGGACGCTATAAACAAGCGTGAGATGAATGCAACACTTCCTTTCAATTAATTTCCTTTCCTTTCCCTCAAAGGAGTTTTGGACCATCAGAGTAGAGGGAAAACAAATACTAATGGGTTTGTTTCGCAGCTAGATGCAAGAACAAAATCAGCCATCTAAATATAGCACTGAAGAAATTGCAAATATTTGTTTCCCTGTAGATGCTTCTTTATTATTTGTCTATATTATGTCTAGCTTCTACTGAACAAAGACTGTGCCTCTGATATTTAGACAGTCCCAGAACCCCCTCACCTCGAGGCCAGTTTTAGAGCGGTCTATAGTTTCAGTCTGGCTTCTCTCCGGTGTTCTTTGCTCCTATAACGTTTCGCTACACTGCCACCGTTTTTTACTGATCCTACTGTACATCATGTTACAGCTTTCCTCTCATTCTCGCCTTTGTCTTTCTATCTCGCAGCCTCTCTCAGGGACAGTCAGGGGTCGCACTTTCTCTCACTGGTTAACCGGTGTCTGGCACTCCGGTGGCGGCATGTCATTGGCTGCCTGACTCGTTTCACCTTGGCGGTGCATATTTTACCACACGGGACAATAAAAAGGCAAAACAGATTTCAGACTTCGCCCCAAATTCATTGACTGGAACAACTGTATTCCCAAGACCTTGAGACATTTCTCACCCTGACGGTTTTCAAATCCACAGTGGTAAAATGAAGTAGGTCGTTTTGTAAAGTGAATGCGGGAGGGGAGGGTGGGGGGAAGCTGGAAGAACAAAAGGCAAAATAGAAGAAAAAAAAATGACATAATTATCTCTTGTTCCTGTCACAGAGGCTGGATTCACAACCTAACAAGCTGCATTTTTTACAAATCAAACTCCTCTATTTTCCACACGCACAAACACGTTTAAGCAATAAACCTGATTTGAACCTATTATAATTGAATGTTTTGCAGCGAGGGGGAAATAAAAAGGAGAAAATAAAAAGAGTGATGGAGACATCTCAACAGATGGGCAGGAAAGGAGGGCAGGAGACATGCCTTGGAGGAGGGGCAGACTTAAAAAAAAAAACAACTTTGAAGAAACAATTTCCTCGCAATCCATCAGTGAGCCCACGTCGATCCGATTGATAAACTGCTAATTACAAAATCAATCGCTATGAATTTTCACAGCTGTCAGAGCAGGGGGGCTCCCGGGAGAGCGATCTCCCAGAGACCTTGTTCTAACATTCGGGACACCCTCCTCCTCCTCCTCGACCCCCATCTCTCCTCTCTCCCACACCCCACCTCCCCACTAAAGCTCTGTTGTCTGAAAGCAAAGGCTCACCATCAGCATTTTCATTTTTCAGCCCCGGACAAAACAAGGGGAAGCGGCCCAGTGACCCAGCGTGCATTGATCAGAGCGGGACAGGTCCTGCCTCCTCAAAAGGAGCCTGTCAATAGCGCTGTGCCGTCCTCGCATTCGAACAAACGAGACCCATCACTGCCTGATACTCATTCCATTCGACTTAACACATTTTATTGACAGCCCCTGTGCTCCTAATGAAATGCTAAATGTATCTCCCGTGGCTGCTGTGCCCTGCAGCTACTGTTATGGAGATAGAAAAAGAGAGGGGCGAGGGAGTGCTCGAGAAATACCACAACACGGAAGGTGTTCAATTAAAAAAAAAAAAATCCCTTCTCCATCCCTCTTTCCCGTACAATGCCCTTATCTGCTCTCCATCTCTCCATCTCACGCTCTAAACTAAAGGTTACCCTGAAAAACTCCTGAAAAACTAAGAAATGTCATTTCTGAATCTGTGTTAGACAATACTTTAGCGTCCCTGGATATTCCACTGAGTGTGCATTACTCAAAGGTCCAGTCAGGAAAAATGTGAATGCATGTGTCTAGATGTTATTAAGTTATTATTAGATATCGATTAGAAAATGATACACATGCATATTAATTATACTGTTATTTCAGCGTAAGCGTTTTCATTTATTTATTTGCATTTATCTTTATTTTCAGATAAAGAAAATCTACAACATTTTAATCTTCCCCAGTTTTGTGTTATATTCAACCTAAGGCAATAATGCTTTTGCAATGCGATTTAAAAAAATCAAGCAGGAATAATAAGATATTTTTAAAACAAAAATGATGTTAATCCTCTAAAAGTAATTTTAAATCATGAATGTTATACATTATAATCACATGTATTTATATAGAGCATATGATTGTAAGATGATTTCCTATTTTAAAACAATTATTTTGTTATTATGATTTACTATCATGCTTTGAAATACTTTTTGTTATAATGCAAGTGCTTTATAAATTAAATTGAACAAATAATACCTCTTTTTATTAAGATCACCCACTCATTTTGGTAATGCTTGTTTCAAACGTAGTTTTAATTCAAAGAAAAATCCTGACGCCTAAGTGGGTGCGCGCAGAAGGCCCCTCACCTGAGTTGGCGAGAGCGATTGCCTTGAGGGTGACAAACTCCTCCTTCTCCACTTTGAGCTTCTTGTATTTGCGCACGAGCTGCAGGATGGAGACGTAGAGGTCGAGCAGCCCCGTCAGCCGCGAGTGCTCCTCGTCCATGATGTAGTCCTCCGCGTACACCAGCTCGTCCTCGTACGGCAGCGAGCGGAACACGATGCTGAGGATGAGGATCTCCATCCAGGCGCTCTGCAGCAAACTCATCTGGTCTCCCAGAGAGAGGGAGGAGAAGCCTGGAGGGACGGAGAAGGAAACTGTATGAGGGACAGGAGGACATCATGGGAAATACAAGTCGAGAGTTGGAAGAAAGTTAAAGTATTTCAAAGTTGACACTTGATCAGTAAACCAGACACGACTTGTCAAGCCCTGGTAGCTTGGAGTACATGCCGAGGCACATGTTAGCGAGCGGTGTTTAATTTTAAATGCACGGTGGAAGGTCCTCTTTGAAGCCGGTGTCAGAGCACTTGAGAGGGCTTTACTGTAAGTGAGGACAGTAAATCGGTGCAAAGGTCCAGGAGACACAAAGCCAGGTGGTTACCCCTTGTATCCTGTCACACCTCTATTGGTGTGTGGGGGATTAGCACTGAGACACATTCTCATTGGAGGGGTTGAGGACATGACATGCACTGTGTCGCAGGAGGAGGTGTCGAGGGGGACAGACACACAAACTTGTGTCAACGAGGAAAACAAAACTGACACATGTGCACCCGCGGATCATGACACCCATACGTATGCACATAAATCCATACACATACCCAGAGCACAGGGGTCACATGGTTCAAGCCCGACCTGAAGACCTGCTTTAAACCCAGAGCCTCATTCTCCAACGGCAGCTGGATGAGCTGAAATTGGCTCGGCCGCATCAAACCACTGTCATTTCCCCTTCAACACCTCTACATATGCTCAGAATAGAACATTAAATACAACGGCTAGATCCCCGAAAGATGAGCTGTGAGAAACTCAAACTAATTAAAACGGGTGAAGGTAAAAAGAGAAAGGAAGAGAGAGTGAGGAGCAGATAGCCAGATAACCATCCCATCCCTTTTTCCTTCGTACTTCCCTTCAGCTGTCAATAAACCCTGCACTCTCTCCCCTCCATCCCCCATCTCCCCTCCTCCTGCCTGCAGGCGGCTCATTCTGACAGCATATTAGGCTCTTCAGCTCCGCCCCTGATTAATATGATTGCTTTTACAAGTTGCTGTTGCCACGCTACCTGCCACAGTGTGATTAAGAGGCGATAGATTACAGTATTGACCAGGGCTTCACCGCACCTATTCCCCAAGTTTTCTCTTAAATATAAATGATCTCACTGGGGGTGCAGCCACCAGCCTGATGTTTATCTGCTGCTGCCAGGACACACACACACACATGTGCAGGTGGAGAAGAACAAGAGGCATGATGAGGAAGCGTGAGAGAAAAAGAAACGGGACGGGAAGAGAGAAAGAGACAGGTGGAGAGAAAAGAAGAGCCAGGGAGAGTAGTACCTGAGTGTTCAATTTCCCTTATCGTGGTGATGACCACTGCAGGGGAAGAGCTGGAGGATACATTAATTAACAGATTGTGATCAGAATGTGAGGGCCTTCACATTTTGAAGGGGAATCAATAGTCAGTAGAATAGAGTGCTAACAGAAAGGTGCTGCTGCCTGGCCGCTCTGGTCAGAGGTCTGAAGAGCCCAAATTAGACCCAACAAAGCAAACTGCCGAAAGCACTCAAAACACTCGGCTATTATCGTCGGAGGCAATAAGCCATATTTTGAAAAGGCCTGTGCCATTACACGTATCCGGTCTGCCTCTTAAAATCTTTTGTTGTGTTATTTCCTTGTCTGCATACGTAGCCATTAAGTTGTACAGACGGTGGACTGGCCGGAGGGAGATTGTCATGCAAGCGTGGACGTGGTCTTGATTGCCGCATCAGGTTGGCATCACAATCACAGACAAGGCTTTGTCTAGCCTTTTAATGCCAAGGAGGGCTGAAGCGGAACTAAAGCGCTGCTCCCAATGTGACAGCCCGTGTGAAGGCCTTGTTCAGGGTTTGTCGGAGAGGCTTTAGAGTTGTTCTGATACAGCAGACACCTCTCAGCCATATGCACACATGCAGCCCAGCAGCCTGCAATTACCTTTGACGCTAAAAGTCCTTGAATTTAATCCAGTGTTGTGAGATCGAGAGGTGGTGTTTTTCCCCTGCTCCATCCCCTCTCTTCAGAGCCTAAATTATCGCTCCAAATGGGATCTCGTGTCGTTGCCTCGCCTTTTTCCACTCAATTTAATCGAGTAATGAAGTGACTTCCCGACTCCGCAGGTCACACGGCGCTCCGGCCGCCGCACTCTGAAGGTGGCCCGGTTAAGTGCCGTCGGAGTGGGTGATTTCCTCTAATGAAATATCAATATTTACATCTTCATTTCCAGCCCACTGCCTTGGCGGGGTTTGACCAAACATGACACAATATTGACCAAATCAGAGAGGCCTGTCTGCGCGCTTGAAGGGCCTTTTCCACTCCACTGCTGAGTGCTCCAGCAGATTTCTGTCTGGAAATCTTTATGGCAGGTATACAGAGATAATGACCGTGCAGCGCTTTTCTTTGTTCACTTTGACTTAAGCACCCTGCTCATATAGCGATCATATGCGTCAAATGGATTTTCACTTTCAAAATGGTTAGATGTGACATATTGTATCCTGCATGGCCACGGCTGGAATTCAGCTCAATCTACAAAAAGGGGACAAATATAAATGTAGGCAAAAGAAACTACACTACAAAGCAGCCCAAATGACCACTAACTCCATCAATCATAGCTCAAAGGCTGAAACAAGACCGCTAAAGACCAACAAGCCAAAACCATCACCTCTCCCTTTATCTCCCCAAAAGCACTCGGCTGTGGGCAGGAGGGAGCAGCCCAAACCCGCAGACGGCTGCTTGAAACCCCCTCGCAGAGATTAATCTGAACACCGTTTCATCTGCCAGAGCACAGGACGGTCCAAAATGAAATGCTGTAGATTTCTGTTGAGCTAGAGTTCATATTCTATTAATTTATTATTGTTTCCCTCTCCCCGAGGGCCATTAGCGCGGGTAATAAAAAGAGATGTAATTACGAGCCACGGTGGCCCCCTCCAGCTGCAGCCCCCTCGTAACTCACCCTCAATCAGACAACAGAGCAGACAGAGGGAGGGAGGGAGAGAAAAGGAAGGGAAAAAATGGTGAGAGAAATGGAGGATAAAAGAGAGGAGAAGATATGGGCCAGAGAGGAGGGAGATAAGGGAGAGGGAAAGAAAGCTGCAGCAGGCGGCGAAAAGGACCGGGGCATGAGAGGGAGAGGAAGAGGGAGATAGAAAGGGAGTCATTCTGAGCCGGACAGCAGCTGATCTATCATGGCGAGCTATCAGAAGGACAAGCAGGCCCTGAAGACTTCTGCCCAGCGGCAAGCTCACCTCAGCCAAGTCAAGTGCTCTCTGGGCTCCAGTCGGAGTCAAACTGCCCCTAACAGGGCCCCAGAGGTCCAGCACGGCTTTTTTATCAAACCTCAAAACTCTGAGCTGAATGATCATGCTGCCATAAGCTTATTTGATAGAAAAGCGTTTTTTTTTTAAAAAGAGGACAAAGAGAAAATGTATGCACCTTTTGATTGTTATAGATTCATCTGATGTGGCAGAGTGACACACTAAGGTGTACCATGTGTCACCAATGCAGGATTGAGGGGCAATTTTGAGCAGCTTTATTGTGTGTGTGTGTGTGTGTGTGTGGTGTGTGTGTGTGTGTGTGTGTGTGTGTGTGTGTGTGTGTGTGTGGTGTGTGTGTGTGTGTGTGTGGTGTGTGTGTGTGTGTGTGTGTGTGTGTGTGTGTGTGTGTGTGTGTGTGTGTGTGTGTGTGTGTGTGTGTGTGTGTGTGTGTGTGTGTGTGTGTGTGTGTGTGTGTGTGTGTGTGTGTGCCAACCAACCATGATTCTTCTTGAATTTACATGACAGCGTCAGGAGAACCCAATCAATAGCAGCTTGGTAGTAAATTGCTGTGCTTGACATAAATAATTTGACCTGCAGTCCAGCCACATGCACAACACACACAGCTCAGCTTGCTGCGAGCCTCCCTGGACACTGATTTGATGACTCAAAGGCTGTTTTCATACAGAAGAGATCATGTCGATACACACTAAAAAAAGAAGTGGATGACTGAACATGTATCTTGTCTTTTTTTCTTAGCAGCTCTAGCCCTGACTTTCAGGAGCGTCCGCTATCTGCCTTCTTTCAGAGTGATAACCAGCCCATTATCCCGTGGTAAGTAGCTGGGGAATGGGCGATTTGACCAGTAGCCTGTGAACGTTATGAGGTTGAAGAACGTTAAATACAGTAATCCCCTTGTTTTAATCTTCACCCCATGACCTGCTGACCCTAACAGAGAGGTCCTTAGCCCTCCCTAGGGTCCCACTGCCCAACACTGACGTTACATATCTCTGTTAAGCCCCAAAGACCAGGACGAATCAGGCTTTAATCATTGCTATAATTACACATAATTTATCTCCTCCGCCGTCAAGCAACATTGCTTAATGAGGGATGGCGCTCTGCAGACAATCACTTAAAGGCACCAGTAAAGAAGATTTCATACAAAGCACTATGTAGAACATTTTACCTACAGTTCTACAGTTTCAGATTTTACGCAGATTCAACTTGGTGACATTGTGAACAGTGCGCATAATTGGGATGCTGGATGTACCTGCTCATGTGTCACAGTAGCTAAACAAATCCCTCCCCCACCCTGCCTGGCAGATGTCCCTTTCCTGGCCCTGCAGACTCCTGACTGCCTGTCTGCCTCCAAAACGCCCCCATCTCAATCTCCCCGCAGCTTTTCCGCCTTCCTCTCGCTCTCCTGCCGGGGTTCAGGCCTCAGCATCCACCTGATTGCTCAATCTATCTTTATCTCTTGTGTTGAAGCCTACGTCAGAGGGTAAATTGAATATACTAAGAGCTGTCTGTTGGTGTCTATATTTAATAAAGTGCACTGATGAGGTGCTGATTTATTGCCGGGCAGTATTCACACTCTATTACAAGGAGATTACGCAGCTTGAGTGGGATCAGGCTGGCAACACAGTAAGTAGATTTCACAATTTAATGGCAAAGAGAAAACAGGAGCCCAGAGGGGGCTGGAGTAGGGTGGGCTGATGGGTGGGTGGGTGATTACGGTGGAGGGTTGAGCTGACACAAACACGACAACATACAAGAGGCGCGATCCCTTTTTAACATCGCTGCCTCCATGCTAACAACTAACCCGCCAGGCGGCTGTCTGTCAAATCAGAGCTGATGAGCTGGAATCCAATAAAGCCCAGATGATGAATATTCCCAAAACACCAGTAATGAAAAAAACAATGCCAACAAGACAATTCCATTAGATTAATCTGGTCTGAATCTAATACCGAAAAATGCACACAACGAAGATGTTTATTATTTTAAAAGTAGCATTCAAGAGAATCAAATGAATGTTAAGCCTTTAAACGCTGTTTTAATATATTACATGTTAGGGGTACATGCCAGTGCAAAAATGTTTTTTTATTGTGTATGAGCAAAGCAGCAGCAGCAGAAAGTCAATGTTTGCTTGGCCCTTTAGCCTTCCGAGAATTCCTCACTGAAAACACTGCGGCCTAGGAAGCACCAAACAACCAGTACCTGTTCAGAATGCAGGGCCGTTTTTACATATAAACACATGACATTCCCACTGCGGGTAGGAAGCAATGTGGGGTGGCATGAGGGGTCAAGCTGGTATTCCGTCACTCCTGAAGAAGGCAACAATGTCAAGGTGATAAACAGGTCCACGTGTACTGAAGCTGTCAGTATACATCCCTAAACCTCGGGTACGGAGTGAAATGGCGCTTTACGGTATGGGAGGGGGCCAGGGGGGTGGACCGCTATGTGTGTCAAAGGTTGTTAGCACCTTAGGAGCAACAAACCATCTGTCAGCATCCCCCTAACACTGCTCCTAATGACCCTACCCCCCCCCCCAGGCAACAGCCGTGTTAGACTCTGCTTCATGCGGCTATTTGGAGCAGTGACACTAGTGTCCAAAAGCTCCGCAGTGATTATCAATTAATCAAAGGCAGATTCAGAATGAGGGCAAGACTGCAGTCTGGCACTGGCAGACCTGTGAAAAGACTCTAGATATGTGACACCAGCCTTTCAATATCTCCCTTATTGAACTGAGATAACAAGTCCACCTGATCGGATTGATTGTTTCATCTGAAATCGTAGACTAAAAACCTGTAAAACCTGAAAGCACGTCATGTTTGCCAATGGACCTTTCATGGTGTGCTAAATAGAGCAGGGATGACATTGGACCCCGTCAGGCAAAGATACCATCTACACTAATGATGGCGCTTTGATATCCTCCGATTGCCCTCCAATTAAAACTCAATAGGCCCACTCTACTCCACATTATGCCACTTTTCAAACGCCTTTTCAAATGTTAGCCTGAGAATAGAAGGAATTAAAAATCAATCGAGAGAAGGTAAGTGCCAATTTTCGCGACATTTAAATTGTTACATTTGGACTTTAGTTATTGGCCCATCTGTCAATGGCCTAATCAATGTGGTCTACTTCATAATGAACTGTTAATCTTTTTAATTCCATTGCCTTAGGCTGCAAAAATCTATCAGAATGCAATCAGCACTTTCTTCCCCTCTTGTTCCTTTCTTGTCCCGGAGCAGAGGGAGGGAGAGATGTGGTAGGAGCCGAGCATGGTAGGCTGCCCTGGGGTGCCGTTGTTGCGTGGAGTGTTAGTGCATGGAGTCTCACTCAACCAGTGAACCGTCTCTGATCAGGTTCAGCCATGTACAACTCAATTATCCAGCCATTTCATGGCCAGAGGACACCCACTGTCCTAATACAGACACCACCAGAGGGACGGACACAGGACGAGCACTCGGCTAAAGTCTTTATTTAGTCAAATAGATATATATTTTATTATCTAAAAATATGTTTGATTTTCAATAAAAGATAATAAATATATCTGAAAAAAACGACAACATAACAATTCATTTGGCTGTATGTATTTATACAGAGGCAGATAATCTACTTAAAGTCTCCCATCTCCCAGGTGCTGCACGCACTGTCCCAGGTACCCGCTCAGACACTGAGGATTACTGCGTCAGGTTTTGGGTTAAATGATCATTATTGACGCAGTTGGACTGACAAATCCTCTGAAACAATCTGTGCGGCAAATCTCATTACCATTCAGAATCTATCCTCTGTACAATATGTGCTGGTGTAATCTGATTAGCAGAGCTTCAACACTATGACTCAAAAATCCCAGATAGACTGCCCTCATATGCACTTTAAAACCTGAGTGAAAGTACTTATTGTATTTGTATTATTATGAAGTACAACCACGTTTTTCTGTGGAGGCTATATTAAGTACACCTTGGCCTCAAATGACCTGTGAAAAATGTAGTATTTTTTTCCACAGTAAAATATAAAAGACCCTCTCAATGTATGTTTTACTGAGTGAAGCCACCATGCTGCAGTATCTGTACTCCGCAGCCAGCACAGGAATGTTGATGTTTCTGTGCTTTGTCTATGACGTTGGTGTACGTTTTTGGTCACGACGATGAGAGTGTGTTATAGGGTCAGTTGTGATCCAGTCCTGTCTAAGCTCCTTGTTAAACTCTCAGTGTGCTGACCATGCAGGGCCCGTCGGGAGTGATCCAAACAGTTTAGAAGTGTAAGGGGCCGGGACTAAGGCCATGGGCTGGCAGCATATCCATCTCTAATCTCCTTACTATCAGATGTGTACCTGATTAATACCTCTCCTTCTGAGAAGATCTCTAATACCTTTTCAGTACAAAATGAACCTGCCGGAGTCAGCTGGAGTCCACTTCACATCACTGAAACTAAATGAACCGTCTTAATCTATGAATTGGGATTTAAATGTATCTGCTGAATTAACTGATATGATTCAATCCACACACTTTTATGTGTGTGTGAGGCAGACCGTGTGTGTGTCAGTGCTGTAGTGATGTCACACATTTCCTGCATGCTGACAGCTCCGTGCCTGTCCAAGTTATGCTGATGAGAAGAAGAGGTTATGGAGGTGCCGCTGAGGGACACATTCATTTAGTTTGTTACCCCTCCATGCCTACAGCGCTGTAATGTTATAGAGTTATGGGGGTCAAGCTCAAGATCAAGGAGAATCTGCCTCGGTTGCAAAAAAAAAAATAGAGCGGCTAAACTATGTGTTCTCTGTCAAAATCAGAGGAAAACTCTCGAAGGAAGCAAAATCTCTGCTGACGTGAGGTGCTGTATCCTTAATTCAATGGCCTCTTATAACCTAACACCTCGTCTATCAGAATGTCTATGGGGCAAGGAAGAAACATGATTATGCCCATCAATAATTCAATGCGTGTGTGCTTGCACTTGTGTGCATTCGTGTGCGTGTGTGCGATATGATGTCTTGTTTGGTTGAGCAGGTCCCCAACTTTGTTATAAATCTCCCTGGTGATTACAACATGCATTGGCACTGGGTGTGTGTGTGTGTGTGTGTGTGTCCCCCTCACCGTTCAAAGCAGTGGTTTTAGATGCACTCTATTGATTTGTTTCTTGCGCAGCTTTGTCCGTTTTGCAGCCGCTCCGTCCTCCACACACCCGGAGGCTGTGTGAGCTGCTGCCATTAATTACCTCCGTGTGTGGGTAAACATGTTTATTCATACAGAGAGAGTTAAAAGTGAGAAAATAAGATAAAAAGGAAGCAGAAATCATTTGTTTTATACCTGGGATGTGCTTGGCCCAGCCGATGATGACCACCAGCTCACGGTCAGCCAGGTCGCACAGCGTGGTCAGAGCCTTGATGTCGCTCTCCGGCATGGTGGGGTCAGGCATGGCATAGATCTTCTCTGGCTCCGCCACCAACAGGTGAGACACTATCTTTGTGACTGAGGATAGAGGAGGGGGGGATGTCAAAGCAAAGCAGAAGTCAAAGGTTGTATCACTGTAAAGCTCAGCGAGGCATGAAGATGCACTGCCCTGATAAACATCTGTGAAAATGTAACAGGCAGTCGAATGGTGGTGGTCGAATGGTCACTTTCACAGATTCTTTCTCTGTCCCATTATGCAAACTAATGGATGGAGCTTGAATGTGAAAAGTAAAATGTAAGGCACTGAAAGCTCTTATCCCTACAGAATGCATGCGAGTGGATGAAAATGTATATGTGAAAATGTAAGAGTCCTCTAGCACTCTGTTCTTAAATATCCTCTACTCAGAGATTAATCAAAAAACAGAACATAAATATATCTGGCCTATTTTTATGACCAATGATTCCTTAATTGCCCGAACATGGCAGAAACAGGAACTTGAAACTGGGCTAGAATATCAGATTTACATGCAGGTGCAGGACAGAGACAATGGGAAAGTGATGGATCAGTACTCACGAGGCTTTTTGGTGGGAGGGGGCAGCGTCAAGCCCAGGTAGGGGTTGTTTTCTGCATCCAACCTCCGCTTGTACTTCTGTCTTCCCCCGCGCACGCGGTCCAGACGAACCCCTTGGGTCAGAAACAACAAAAGGGACATGAGATTAAGAGAGTGTCGTTTTTCCACAATGCATTTTAGGGGAATTCAAATACATGATAATCAAATAGGTCAAAAATGGGTAATACATGCATTGGCTAAATCCATGTTTTACAACAAAGAACAAAAGTGTAGGGTGATGATCAGAGAGGACACCCTAACATATTCTGTATTAGATCATGTGTTAAAGTGGTACTGTAAAAGGTGTGTGTGTGTGTGTGTGTGTGTGTGTGTGTGTGTGTGTGTGTGTGTGTGTGTGTGTGTGTGTGTGTGTGTGTGTGTGTGTGTGTGTGTGTGTGTGTGTGTGTGTGTGTGTTGGTGTGTGTGTGTGTTGGTGTGTGTGGTGTGTGTGTGTGTGTGTGTGTGTGTGTGTGTGTGTGTGTGTGTGTGTGTGTGTGTGTGTGTGTGTGTGTGTTGTGTGTGTGTGTGTGTCAGAGGCACGGCTGCCTTCCCATATGTGGTCCATGCCTGGCTGGTCTACTGTGACACAGCTGAGCCCAGAGCAGGTCTAAACATATGAATATTTAACGCAGGGTCAATGATCTCACAGACTGGCCCTCTAATTATTTAGCTTTTGGGGTGAGGCAGACTGCATACTAATTAGCTGCCAGCTAACATGCTCGCGTGGGTGTGTGTGAGCTCAGGTGTGCGCTCTTTGGTATCCAGAAAAAGAAACTTAAACCAGCCTACAAGCAAAGACACGTTCCCGCACACACTGTACAAAACATCCACTGTCATACTGCAGATAGATAACTAGGTATTGCCTTCCCATAAAAGACCCTTATTTCACCCCTCTTTCACTGGAGTAGCACTGAGGCCTTATCACCCCCAGCCACACCTAGGGGGCCAGGTTGCACACTGATACTGTAAATGTCAAGCCGGCCTCATCATAACATAAGTTATTTATTATCTCATTATTTGATAAGAATGTTTCCATTTGGATGTCTTTTCTATTCTATTAATTTTCAACATAGTTAAAATATTTCATCTATGCTGTTGTATTTATTTAATACCACCGGGCAGGTATTTGGTTATTTAATGCGAGTGCATGCAAACATTTATATCCTGCATCCCTATATTTGGAGCAGCGTGTCACGCAGACTAAATATCCCTGATATCTTAATCCTGTCAAGAGGGAGAATCCCTTCAATTTACGTTGTGTGCATAATGTAACCAACCCCCAAACAAATGTAATACTAAAGGGTGGATGAGAGAAGGCTCAATGAAATGCTTGCGGTGGAGGAGGAGTTAATTTGTCAGTCGCCCGCGTCCTCTGAGCGAACAACACCCGCAGCCAGAGCACTTCCTTGATGATTTCATCACTTTATAACATGGAGGACGGTGTCAAACCTGGGCATTGTGTGGCCCCTGCAAATGAGCCTAATACAATTTACCCATCAGCAAGTGCTCTTGGAGGGGATGAGTTTGGATATGTCCCATGCACGGTGATTGGAGGTCGGGTGGAAAATCAGATAATGCAAGATAGAAGGTGGCCTTCATTTAACAAAGAGGAATTCAACGGTGGATTTATGCAAAAATATCTTCTTGATTTTTGCCGCTTATCTTTTGTGGCCATAGCCTCGTCACACTCGCATTGAATGCATGGTGAGAGGTCCAGTAAACGGTAATATCATGCGACTGTAGAATAGAGATTTCTTCTACTTATATAAATTATTTGATTCCCTAGAAACACAAATCTGATTAGAATTGTCTTTCAATTTCCTGACACTGACAACCCACTAACCTAATTACCCCAATTCCCAACAGAGCCTCTTACTTCCCAGCAAGCACCAGGGAATCATCTGCTGGCAACTACTGTACCTGCGCTTTACACACACTCGTACACATTTTCCTTTTTATGTGCAACATATAAAGAACGTTTGTGTTTTTTCTGTGAAGGTGTCTTGAGAAAAGTCTTCAAAGACCCTCTACTTGCAGCTCAAATTGTTCAGACTTTCTAGTTTCTACAGTTTCTTCCGGCTCCACCAATGAGCTGAGCAATGAGTTGGCTGCTTTCTGCTCTCCATGATCCTCTCTGCCGGTTGAGTCATGTGGCTGTGTAAAGCCAGCCATGGAGGTAGATGGGTGCCTCTTTTAATTAGAACAGTCCTGGCCATAATTAACAGATGCTGACAGGAATTAAAGCTCGGCAATAACCTGTCTCATTTTACTGTCCAACAGGGCCAGATACAGTCCGAGAAGAAGACAGAGTGATTAAAAGCAGCTAGACGGATTCATTCACTGTGGTCGGGACTTTATTGGGGCCTTCGTGAGGTTCATATGTCCCTTTGGTGGCACCAGCAGCTTCAGTCTCTGACCGCTCTGTTGTGTTCCCTCCAAAGTAAACAGTAGGAGCGTTATAAATGTGTGAAAAGAGTTGAGCACTGCCTCATCCAGAGACATCTCACTGTTTTATGGCCCACCACAGTGCAGTGAGTGTAGCAGCGGGTGATCTCGGGTATCATCTCTTCAAAGCAGGGTGCAGGGTGCAGGGGGAGAGGGCTTTTGGCCGAGGCGGCTGGCATTTGTGCACGGATTAGCGCAGGCCTCCGGGGTGGGGGCTGAGGCCAGCTGACCTGGGGCTCTTCTTTCTCTCCAAAAACAATAATAATCCCCTTCCGAGTACACTCCTACAAAAGGGCCTGTCTTCACTCACTTTGTGCGGCCGGCCGTGCTAGGGGCCCTTATTTTGAGTCCCTCACCTGTTCCGAGTGTCTCTCCCTGGGGACAGTGTCAGGATGTCTGGGATGGTTGGCAATGCCAAGGGGGGCTTAGGCGGACCCTATTTTAGCTGGGAAAATCAGAAGGCCACATGGTAAGGCATGGTGAACCTTGCCTTTCAAGGAAGCCGCCGCACTAAACTGCCGTCAGCACTTTTTCAAAGGACCCCTGTTGCCAGCTTTGCATGCTTGTAAGTGTGTTGCAGCATTTTTAATCACGAGTGGTGATGAGCAAGGGTAGAGGAAAGATTGTCACGCATTGCCCTCCTCCCCTTCTGCTGACCCCGGGGGCTGCCATACTGACACCCCTTGTCAAAGAGTCCATTTACAGGTTAGCTTCAATATCCCCAGTGAGCTGAAATCCCTGCTTGCTCTGCTAATTGAAAACACTAAATGGTACTTAAACTATATTTTAGATTAATCTGAATTACAGCATTGAAAACAAATTGAATACAAAAAAATGTTGGTGAGCTTTCTCCCCCGCTCTTTTTTCTTCTGTTGCTTACTTTAGTATGCCAATAATACATATTGGACGCAGACTGCATTTGTCTTACTAGTCTTGAACACATGGGGACATGTACGTGTCTTGTATTTCAGGCACTATACATGTGAGGTGGTTTGTGTGTATGTTCTGTATGTTGCTATGACGGGGCTATTGTGGGATGTGGTTGTCCTTTGCGTGCCAGTCTGCTGAACGATGAGAGGTGTATATAGTATATCAGCCGAGCCACACTTTGGTCCTTTGTTCGGCCAATGTTCACGACTGTCCTCTTACAGTGAGACAGGATACTTCTACTTTAAAGCTTAGTGCTGTCACACAGTGAGGACTATGTAACAAGTACTATTGTCTTGGCTCAACGCTGCAGATCAAAATATATAGAACTTCACAGAATTATTTTCTCTGCACTTGTGTGTACATGTATGTGTGGAGGGATCTGTCAGTTTAAAGGATGGAGAAAGGAAGTCAGTGAAGAGAGCAACTGCCACTGAATGATGTCAATGTAATCTCTCAATAGCATCTCGTCTTCTCTCTCGCTCTAAGCTCTGATCCGTTTCCATTGATCAGAGGAAAAACCTGTTGCCACTGACATTTGATTATTCTATTGATCACTTCCTCCTTTATACAGTCAAGGGAAAGTACAGCGACACAGGGTTTAAGCAGCTCTCCTGTAATCGGACTTCTAATCTTCAAAGACCATTTTCCCAACACCTATCACCACTTTGAGATATGAATGCTACAGCTTATACGCTTGTGCGGTAGATATTAAAGAACTTTTACTACTGAGAATATAAACAGAAATATCTAACTTTCTAAGAAGACTTCTAGTATTCTTACTTATCCAGAGACAGTGATGGATTTAAATGTCTGTTCTCATTGGGTGGCAGCAGTGTACTTTGTTGGAGCTGTAAAGTTATAATTAGTAGATTTTCCATTGAGACACAATGTGACCTTTCTGCAGTAATGAAAGTAAGTGGCAACCTCAGTCACATGAGCGGTGACCATCTCCACACCCCGGGCCTGAGCACGGCGTTGAGCTGATGGCTTCATAGAGCTTACAGTGGACAGAGACCCTGTGCCTCTTTCCATTTCGTCTTGGTGACGCTTTTAAGTGCCTGGCCTCAAGGCAGAGCTATCGTGGAAAAAAATGCACCCCACATCTCTCTGTTAATCATGATAGATGTGTTGTTTTTGTGATAATATTTTGAAGGAAAACGTTTTTTATGGCTTTTTATTTGACTATCTATGACGATAACACCTGAGCAAGACTTCAATCAGCCTGTGATAATAGTTGCCGTGTGGTGATGACATCCACTGTTTAAAAGATGAGGGTCATTCTTATTCTGGGAATGTGCTGAATACACAGAAGTGTGCAGCATGAGAAGCTCGGGCTTAGCCGAAGTCTGCATATTTGAGTTTTACACTCTTTTTACTCCGACTTGACACTGGTCATTCATTTATAGCCACGGCTACATATTTTTGTAGTCTCTTATTCTCCAAGATGATATATTGGCATACATTTTTCATCAGATAGTAATGCGATTACTCTGTCTTTCTGGCACTGAGGCTTTATCTGGCTGCATGCAGTCCGGGGATTCTGTTACTGTGTGGAGATCCATACGGGCTACGACTCTGGCTTCAGGTGGCGACCGGATGCATCTATAAATCCTGCTCTCCGATGAATAATGGAATGAATAATGGTGTGATATATATACACTGCACAGAGTCTGACAGAGGACTTAAAAGTGGAAGTTTGCACAGTTTCATTCATCAGAGCGACTATCTGGCAGTATTTATACCACTGTATAAACATGAGGGACAGTCGTACTTAAGTGCTACCTGACCTGCACTCATCAGCACTCGAAGAAAACATGTTTCCTTACAGAGCCCCTGAGCTACTCCCAGAGGAGGCTTGAATAAATATAACACCGCCACTTCACCCCGAGCCACATATCTTTCATTATTCATTTGTCTGGCTCTTTTGGACCAACAAGTGAGAAAGAGAGAGGCAGGTGAGAATGCATCGGCTAATGTCAATGCAAGGGGGAGATCGGATAGGTGCCTCCCCAAGGAAGAGCAACCAAGTCAAGTCCTGGGGTCTCAGGGGGATCACTCAGGGCCACAGAGGGGGGGGCGGGGAACCCAGCCAGACAAATCCATCGGAAGCATGTTTAATCGTCACTGAATTCCCTGCTGGCGTGACTTTAAAAAGCCATCCGCAGGAAGAGAGCTGAGATGTTCGGAAAACATTTAGTGGATCAATAAGCCGGGGAGAGCTGAGGCTGTGCCCAGTGTGTGCTCAGGGACCTGGCCAGAGCCTTCCCAGGCGGAATACTGTTACATTTCTATTACTCAGACGGCAGGATCAACCTATTCAGCATATTTCTGTCCCCGGCTCAACTGCACATTATTTACTGCTGTGTAGGTAGGGGGAGGACAGGGGGAGGCTGGGAACTGTTGTCCAAGCCTGACTGTTGTATGCAGCTCTCGCTCTGGGCTTGTAGATGAGAAATACTGTGGGACTCATTGCTGAAGCATTCTGGGACTTCATTAAACACGTACCATGAGAGCTAATATGTGATAATGTAATGTTCCACTAGCAGCTCCTTTATCAGATCAATGGTGGTTTCTTTATTTGCATGAATCTTATGTAAACATTATAAACTAAGATAGCTGGAGTGTGTGTATTTGTGGGTGTAAGAATAATAAAAATGCTCTTACTCTTCTTACCTTCTTTGAGCATCCCCACTTTGAGGCATTTCATGAAGCGACAAGCCTGACATGACTTGCGTCTCCGTTTTGTGATCTCACACTCATTTGTGGCAGGACAGCTGTATTCTATGTTACCTGAGGAGAACGAGGAGAAGACCATGTTAACACAAACACAATCAAGGTTTATACAGGGCCTATTAATTCTCATTTTTAACTTAATGATTGTGAACAAATTAACAGAATGGGTAGAATATGAGGTGAGCAGTAATGTACACAAATGACCTGGTTGTTTTATAACAAGACAAAATAATAGTTTTTTATGTTTTCTGAAATGTTATATGCTCATCTGAATACAGATCTGGGGAAAAAAAACGTGAACATTGGATGAAGCCTGGTTCAAAGTGATTGATTTTGTTGATATAGTAGAGTTAAAGTACATTTTATAAGGGTAATTTTGACTAAATTATTTAAAAAACAGTAAAACAATCGATTTTCTTTTTTTTAGGAATACATATTGCATAAATTAGGCTATGAATGACATTATAATATAGATAAGAATGGAACTGGAATGTTTGGTGTATGTTAGTGCTATTGAAGTGGAGATTTCTGGCTCTGATAATTAGAAAAAAAGAAACTTAAAATGCCAAACATTTTGCAAGATACTTTAGAAAAATAGGGTTAAGATTCAAATAAAATATATGATCAGGAATCTTCAACAGTTGATTACTTACACAAAGGCAAACACATTTTTTAATTACAAGTTCTCTGAAATGTTATGTTTAAACATGCAAATGAGGCATGATCTAACGTTAACTTAATTCATTAAAAAATGAAATGTGTCATTTGGATTTTTTTTTCCCACTGTAATGGAAGCAAAATAGCCTCACAAAATGGACCAGTGTATAACAAGTGTAGTGTGTCGCACCTAAAGAGAACCTAATGGTAAACAGGTTGTTGCTACTGATGTAATAAACACCAGTGTGGACTCTATGCTCTACAATAAATCATCTTTTGCCAACCAGGCATGGGCACTTGTTACCATATGGATTCCTATAGGATCCGTTTCTGTGGTGCAGGTGGCTCAGGTGTTCTCCTGTGAGGGCAGAGCCTTGCAGCACTGAGGGTCCCGGCAGCAGGAGGAGCTGGAGTAAGAGGTACAGGGGGGATGTGGGGGTGGAGGTAAAGCTACAACAGTCCTTTAGGACCCATCAGTAGACGCCACCCAGGTCCAACACTAAATTGGCCTCATTAATTCTGTTCGTGTCCCCTCCGGGCCCCGGGCCGTGTCCCCCGCGCTCAGAGGGGCCTGCCACCGCCTCAATAGCAGGCAAGAGAGCCAGACACGCTGCCCCTGACCACTTTACATAATACTCCAGCAGACCCAAACCTGTTGTTACCACTGTTGCCATTGTTGACTATTTACATAGTGTACAGGCAAGAGGCCTTATGCATTATTCAACTGCAGCGTCTGATTCCAGGACGGAGCAATGAAAAAGAGTTTCACTGCTGCACAATAAAGGAGCCGGCTCTGCTCTACTCTAGCATTAGCGATAGGAAGGGCAGCATATATGAGGCAATGCCTCCGCTTCTGTCTGATTCCCTACATTTTACTGTATTCAAGGGTTTTCAATAAAGGGTTTCAATATAATGGTTGCCTCAGCCTAGGAATTTGAATTATCCTCGTTTTGAATGGGCTTTCAGCTTTAAAGCGTTTGACATTGGGATTTTTCTAAACTTTTCTTTTAACCTGGGGTTTATGTCTTTGTCAGTATAGTAAAAGAAATGGTTGAGTAAAACTCTAATTTAATGATCATGATAACCTTTCTTATCCACTAAAATACATGCCAGTAACAATGTCAGCAAATACACTTTCAGTTAAAAGTAGTAAATATACTCATGTTGTACAGCAACGCTTTTACAGATGAAGCTTTTTTAAATTGGGCAGGGGCCGATCAGGATTGCAGCTGCTCTCAGCTCTGACCCTCATTCTGTATTTCCTGTACAGAGTAACAGAAAGCTGTGTAATATTCCACAGGCGTTCCTCCACTAGCCCCTCCAACATCCTTTGACAACTTATGCAATTATGTTAACATTATTGGACAGATCAAGTGGAGGGTCCCAAGATGTTATAAATAATTAGAAATTCCTCCTTATATCTGGGTTAGAAAATCATTATGCTAATTCTCCTCATCTCTTTGGGATTGGGGTAAATAAAGGTGTGAGGGAAGGCGGCTGATGAGCTCTGATTGTCTTTCCTCTGTCTGTTTTCTCTGTTGTCATAGCAGACCCAGACCATAATAATCCTATCCATTTCCCATATGCTGGGAGGAGGCAATCAGTGCCACCCTGCGCTGGAATCAACTCTTGGAGGTCTTTTTAGTTTGCGTTCCCATTATACACTAACCAATCAGCAATTTGCAGGGACTAAATGCATAAAAGAAACATTTTGATTGCAAATCTGAAAAATCTTTACTTCTCACTTTGCTGTGTCGCAGGTTTGCTTTCGCCGCCTAACCCGGCACAGTTAACCCCGAGTGTCCCCGAGGACTCTTTGTTTATGGGGGTATTTTTCTCCCCCTCTCTCCTCCCCACCCAGTCTCAGGGGTCCCAGGGACACGTGCTGAAACCACACCTGGCGGTTAACTAAGAGTTAGCGCTTTATTATCTCACACTCCAGAAACAAACACACGCTCACACACTGCTGTGCTACCGTGTCCACCTGTCCTGTAAAGTCCCCCGTGCGTCAGATGCTCTGTGAGAGGGGGCTTCTCGTAGCTCAATGCAGAGCGAAGGCTGGATTAACTCATTTCTCATCCCTACGTTGGGTTTATATTTAGGAGAGGTTTCAGTATCAGTATTTGAAGTCCCATTTCAAAACCAGCCTGACGTCTTTTAGCTGAGCTAAATTACAATAAGCTCCGACCCCTTTGGGAATACTTATTTAATTTCATAGTGATATAAGTCAAATATAAAGTCAAATGTTTATATTCAAATGGATAGGGCATTCTTTATAGATCAGAACTTGTTAAGAATATATTTGATTTAAGAAATGATTGAATCTCTCATGCTGGTAAATGTTTGTTTTTATCAGTAATGTTTGTAACCAGGGGTAAGCCTTTTCATTCAAATTCATTATGCTAAAATATTCATTTACACTATTTGTAAAAATATATCTATAATTTAGGGTTTAGATTTCATCTTGGTTATAACTGTGACATAATAACAAATGCAAATATAGATATTTATGTTAAAGCATTTCACTTTTACTTCCAACATAATTGGCATTATTACTGTAAGATATAGACGTTATTGTGTCTTTCTTGTTTTTGTGTCGATTAATGTTTCTTTTTTCATAGCAATCTTTAGTTTGTTGACACTCATGTTCCACTCAATGAATGATTAAACATGTTTTACCTGAATACAACTGAACCAATGAATGTAACATAATGGTTACAGGATTGACCAGAATGACTCAATATGAACAGTAGTTAAACAAAGTGTCTGATTCAGTTGGGAATTTGTGTTTTCAGTAGTTTAAAAAAAGTCAAATGCTTTGCAATAACCTTGTCAGTCAGACATGATGTCTGGAAATCATGGCTTTAGAGTAAAAGCATGGCCAGTTTCACTTTCAGAAATGAAGCATACTGGCAGGAACCCCTTTAACCCCGGGGCCATGCTCTGGTTTATCTGTCTTTAGAGAGGTTATGGTATGTTACCAATAACATTACAGAGTGAAGGGAGAAGAAAAGATTTCCCCCCTTCTTCTCTTGATAAGTATCTGTCTCAATCTATTTTATGGCTTTTCAGGACCCATGCCAGGGCACAGAGGGGAAAGTCAGGTCTTGTAAGCAAATTACAGTAAAATGGCAGGTATTTCTCATCAAAATCTAAACTGACTTTTACAGGCTTACTGTCAAGGTCTATTACTTCATATAAAAAGGGGGCCACTGAGTTCAGTCGGTTTTCAAGCAATTTTACACTTGGGTTCAAAATGGGAAGAAAACAGGGTTCAATAAGAGATTTATGTTTTTGATCGGTGGGGCAGTGGGGTTCAGAAATGGCGGGATGATTAGGGAGCAATGAGAACAGCCGTATTTCTGGGATGGATGGAGATTTAGGTTGACATTAATTTGGGACTGGCCTTGACTAATGTAACTATCTGCACGTAAGAGTTCAAGGGGCTTTTCACTGGATGAATAGGTGACAGAAGATGGATTCTTCTTCCGCTCTTGTAAGGAAAAGTAAAGGCATAAGCTAAAGAAGTTAAGCTGGAGCAAGAAATTGAGCAAGAATAGTAATATACTCTGTGTATACTGTAAATGCCTTCATTTGCAAAATAATATTTTAAACAACTAAAATGAAAGAGTATATACGCAGAGCTGCAAGGTGAGCACAAGGTGATAAAGAAACTGTCATGTACATGGTTAATGTTAACTTAGCTTGTTGTTTGCCCTAAGTGCTATAGAACAATGTGATAAAGGGCTGGAAAAGACAGCTCCTTTGTTTCGCTCTCATTAGAGAGGGCCGTCTCACACTCCACCCTTGACTGCCTCGTTATTCCTTTAATTAATCAGTTCTCATCAACGGCACCCTATCATTCTTTCAAGGGCTCTACATCCCGCTTTTTACCGCCTCCATTTTCCTCCGGCAGTCCTGCATGTGTTTCTTTTATCATTTCGGAAAGGCTTACTCCTCCCCCAAAAAGTCCCTGCGTCCTCCTGCCTCCTCTGCCTGGGACCCCTGTCTGATTATTATGCCATTAAGCTTCTCCTCCTCTCCTCTGAAAGAGCAGCAGGGTCCCTCTCCAATCTAAAGAAGTCCTGGGTTTTTTCCCCCTCCTTTCCCTGAAATTACCCGGCGACGCGTGCCTGAGTTTCTAATTGGCATGCCCGTCCCTGGAGACGGCCCCCTCCCTTCTTCCTAATGAAAAGCCTCGGCCTTAATTACACTTTCCAAACGCTGATTGTTATTGACAAAACTCCTGTGGCTCGGACAAACGACGGCAGATTAGCTCCATTACAGGCAGCCCTCCAAGAAGAGAAAGAGAGGGATTTCAAATCGACAATGCAAAGTGAGCGGGGAAAAAAGAGGAGCTTTCAATTTTTGTCCATGTACCTTCCTCTTAATTGTTTGGGCCGTTGCTCCACTTAAGACGTCTCTTTCTTCCCCGATGCCTTTTTCTGTTCCATTGTGTTGCTGTCTATGTACTTTTAGTGAGGGGACAAAAGCCTAGTTATGTTACTTGAGAAAAAATGTTCATCTTTTGTCAATAGACAGGATTGCTGATGGCAGCATGGGTAAACATGAGGATTTGGCGTAATGCTTTTGTTTGCCTGCTAAAGGTACATAGACTGTCTAAAGCTGATAGGGCTGTAAGGTCCAAAATCAACAACCAGACAGGCAGCTGGATTCTCATAGTGCCGGCAATCATTTTATTGTTGAAAATGAATAGAAAGCCATTGATATACCATGTCATTTAGTTTAGAGATCAGACTATTCCACTCTTAATTATTTCATTTCACCATACTCCAACCGTTTGGCTCATTTTACCTATTTCCTCCACTATATCTGTTGCTCTACTAAGCCGGCAGGGCTTAGACCTGGACAGCTGTGCCTGTTGTGCACATGTTTTCCAGGCTCAACAATATCTCCGTCTTCCTGATTAATCTGGAGCGGAGCGCACAGATTCACAGTGGGGGGGCCTTTCATTGCCTCTCTAATGAGAAGCTGTGATACATCATGCCTTGCAGTTAGCCAATCGCACCCTAGTCCCCAGGCACACACACACAAACAAACAAATACACACACTCATACACACAAACACAAAACAGGAATAATAAAGCACGTTCTGCGAGGCATCTGCGCAAACAAAACCTATACGCCACCAAATCTGACCAGATGCTGTAATCATATACTCCTGTCCCAGGTCAAATACTCTTATCATCTCAGTTTCTGAGAAGTCTGTACACTGCAAGGGATATTTTCATTATATATTATTCTATCGATTATTCAATTGATCTATAGAAATTATAAAAATAGGATAAAAATAAATCAATCTCAGATTCTTAAAGTACAGGAAGCTGTTATACAAATAGTGAAGGCACGAAATGCATAGGAGAATTTTCTAAAAGAAATTCAATTAAAAAAAAAATCACTTTATTTAATATCGATTTTCTAACTGATAAATAATAATTTAACAACAGTTAATAAGTTTGCAGGGTTTGTAATGTTATCATATAGTAGTTATGTACTGTATTGTACAGTTAAGCAACACATATTTGTTATGGAGGTTGCTGGTCTCAGGGGTGGGGGGGAAACATCTTTCACACTCCAGTGATTTTTTCCCTTTTTTTTTTTACATAGTGAATTGCGTGGACTGAGTATGTTTCAGTGTTGTTGTGAGGGCAAAGGTGTCTTGTAAGGAGGGTGTTTTTATGTGCTGTGATGCAGCGACATGGGATGAAATAACTTGTGTTGAGTTAAGGGGGGAGGTGAGAGGAGAAAAATACCTTGTATTGTCCTTTTAAAAAAGGCTTTGCAGGCCTCACAAGAGGCCACCCCATAGTGATACCCCGAGGCTATATCTCCACAGACCAGGCACAGCCTCTTGGGGAGGGAGTTCAACATGTATTCGCACTTTATGGACGAGTCCTCCATGATGGTGCTGGAGCAGTCGTCGTAGCGCTTGCGGCAGGTGCCTGCCCCGAGCCCGCCGGGGGTGAACATAGGTGGAGAGTCCAGGCCGTTGGAGTGGCTGTTGGAGTGGCTGTTGGAGTGGCTGTTGGAGTGGCTGTTCATCGTGCTGACATAGCCGCCACTGGCGTCTGAGTTCCCGCTGGGGCTGTGGTGACTGACCGTGTCAATGACTGAGGAGGGACTGGATGGCTCCGTCTTGATGTAGGACCCACAACTGGAGGGTAGGTGCCGGTCATCAGCGGCCATTCTATTCAGCAGCCTGAAGGAAGGATGAGGGGAGGAGGGTTGGTGGGAAAGAGAGGAGGAGAAGAGATTATTAGCAGAGGTCTACAGAGAGCATACATTTATCTAATCAACCAGTGGAGTGACATAAATAACTAAACAGGTAAATACTTGATTGACATTTAGTATCATGATTCTGTGGACACATGACAATTACAACACAAATGCTCTTTTGCTTTAACTAGAAGTTATGTCAAGTTTATAGTTAATCAATCACACTGCTTGTAACTCTACTACACAGTGCCACTGCTTTAACGGGAGGCAGAAAAGGTGGGAGATGACACGTTATGTCGATTTTATGTGATGAAACAGTTGGTGGGTTGTTTTCATTTAAATAAATCAACTATAGTCATTTTTCCCCAGTATTTCCAATGTTCTTCACTGTATGTTGTAAACTGGAGAACCAAATGAGGGATTCTAAGTGCTTCATTAGCCAAACAAAACGGCAGCTGAAAAAGTGCTGCAGCGTAAAACTACAGTCTTTACATCCGCACACAGTGGCACACATGCCCAAACAACACAAACACACAGAAAGGAAAGTGAAAGAGGGAGAGATGGAGCACTCAAATAACTTCACACACACACACACACACACACACACACACACACACACACACACACACACACACACACACACACACACACACACACACACACACACACACACACACACACACACACACACACACACACACACACACACACACACACACACACACACACACACACACACACACAGAGCACATCTAGTGTGGGACATCTCCATAGTTTAGAGAGCAGAGTGGACCTTGGCTTGTCTCCTTGAGTCAGCAGTCAACCAAAAGGAAACATGATGGCAAGATATTGACTTTTTCACTCTCTACCTAATAACTGTATTTTGGAGTACATGCAATATGATGCTGTAACGTGTGCAGACTAAAGTGCAGCCTTTTGGCTGTGGCCACAAAATGCACTCTGAAGCCTTCCTTGCCCATATAAATCTATTTCAGTCTCGCTCTATAACCTTTAACTTGAAATTGCACTGGGAGAACAATGGGGGAAAAACTTAGCCTGAACATGTTCAACTCGTTTTTCCCTCCGCAAATGGAGTGAACTGAAGGGGTGGACCGGTGGAGGAGATGGATAACTCAATGTATTGGGGATGCTGTGTAGACATAGTGACCTCTTAGGGTCAAGGCGAGGTCACACACTTACATACACACACACCCCTTTGCATTAGGAACCACGGAAGGGGTGAGAGGTCACCTGCACTTGCCTGCATTAACAAAATTGAGCCTTGCATGGCTTATGCAAATTCAGACACAGGGGTTCCTAGTGAGTGGCAGCTAGACAGCCCGAAGTTGTGCCTTGGCACATTAGTACCATTAGCATATTGCCAACTAATGGCAATGTTTACATATTTGACATGTCAGTTTACCATCAGCACGGGGTGAGGAGGGGGGGGGGGGGCCTCTATCAGCCTGATTGGACGATAGCTGTCTGTCTCAGAGTGCTTCAGAGGAAACAGGAAACGAGAAGGCCTCCGCTGTGTCCCCTATCGGTCCGCCGGACTGCCTCTTGCTCTCTGAGGCTGATTTAATTGTGAGGGTGGGTGACGGAGGGGTTCAGGCCCGGGGGTCAGTGGGTCAACCTTATTTTCTCACCCTGGCTTCCTGGGCCCGTGGAGATGGGGGTCAGCGTGTCAAATTAAATCTCATTCCCAGGTTTTTCTCCCTGCTGTCATGTATATTCATCGGAGCTCCAGGTGCCTACCACTTCTGGAAATTCACAAAAAGGTTAACTGCTAAAATAAATAATAAAAAATGCCCCCTGTTAAAACCGTTGACCTTGTGGAATAAGCCCTTTGCTTGAGTACTGCTGGAATTCTTCTTGCAATATAAAGCCTTAGCTATATAAAACTGATACACAACTACCATTCTGCTGAAGAACACGTGCCCAATGCACCTTTTTTCCTTTAACTACTCTTAGTATTAAAAAAAATGATGGCATGCGGGGCAGTTATTCAGATTTGCCGTTTAAAAAATTACCCACTTGTACTCTTTAATGTCCTTGCAGGAAGAAATTGAAAAAGTGAATCCATTTCATGCCTTTCTAAAATAGAACTTGCCGCTCTTGATAATAAATGCAGATTGCATCCCCATAAATTAATGCACGGCTCTGTGTTCATCTGCTTTATGTTCTCTGTTTCAAATGGATATGTGCACCTGCGCGATAGGGCACCTGCACTTGGCTTATTAAAGGCTATATATTAAAACGCAGGAGCACAAGATGGCTCCATTTAACTTTTATTTCACAAATTCAGAGTAAGCTTAACCCCGGTTCAAAGGCCATCTTCAGGGTGACACTTAGCATAATTGCATAAGTGTCTTAACTGTTTCCCCTCCAGCTCAATGTGGTCATTTATAATAAATGTGCTGGCTAGAATCCCCTTAACTCATTCTGCTATGACACATTATACCACTGCAATGCTTATGTTTTTAACAAGCCTGCATATATTGATTAATGATACTGAGGGAATACTAACCACTTGAACCTGGCGTATTAATCAAATAGTCTAAAATATTTCTATAAATATTCGTAATCTCTAATGGGACAGGACCAATTTAAATCTATAAATACCATTGTATGGAAAAATGAATTATGAGGTTTAAATAGTTTGACAGCAGCAATAGTCGTGATAAATAATTCAATATATGGGACAGGTGCTAATTAGCTTGTGTGCTACACAGACAGGGCAGACAGGAAAGGGTCTGCTGAACTCACTGAGACTTGATGCTGTAAAATCTATAGTTCTGGCTTCCTTCCTTCCTCAAGGTAAGAGCATTTCAAATTCTGCTGCCTGGCTGCCCAAAGGAGCAGCGCTCGTCTAAGATACAGTATCTCTCCCCCTCTCTTTTTCTCTCTCTGTTCCTCCTCCTTTTGTTCCCTTTGTACTGATCAAAATTCATGCTGAGTAGTGGGTTATGGGCCCGCAAACGCACACTGCGCAGTTTGGTTTTAATCTGATTCCACCTGGCCCTCCTAACAGTATTTCAGATCCCTAATATCATTCCACTGGTGCTGCTGTGACCAGGATTAGCTGGCCTAATGATCTGGCGGCTCGTCTCGCACTCTCTGTTCCCCGACTTCCGAGAGGAGAACAGAAGAGCGCTCATTTTCTCACGTCTCGACACTTCCCTCGCCCGAAAGCGACACTCTGAACGTCGGCTGACACTGTCGTAAGAACGCAGAACATTCGGGATCTAATTGAGCCAATTTGTAAGTATTCCTGCTGAGAGCTTCCTGCTCACATATGGAAGACACTGACATCCTCCACTGTTCTCAGGGCGATTTAAGCTCTGTCCCCGTTTCATGTGTAAATCACAAGCACACAGTACGAACCTAGAGGCTCTACTCAAACATTGAATATATTCCTGATGTCCTTTTTCACTCCCAAGGCCACCAGATGCCAAAAACACCATTCCATAACATTTGCTAACCTCATCCCAAAGTGTCACATCCTTGCTACCTGATCAGACTGGGTAAGTGGAGGGGAAGGGGTGTGTGTGGTAGAGGAGGCGGGGGTTGACATGTGCAGGCAGGGTGATGGTGATATCAGATGCCCTGGTAGGGGCAGATCTGTCTGGAGGGCCCCAGGCGATGTGGCCTGATAAGCCACTGGCCCCAGAGTCGGCGCTGGTAGGACAAACTCAATTAGCTCCTGACAGACCCCCTCTCAGCCCGGCTCAGCCTCCCGCCACCCCCAGAACCCACTGGCAGCTGCCACGCTGACCTCTCCTCCAGGGGCTACTGCCACCTTTTACCGCTCTAACACACAGCCAGGGATTCATTTCTGAGAGGGCGGACACCACGCTGAAATTCTGCACAGCCTGACTAAAATCACAGAAATGTGCGGAGAGGTGTGAATGCCACCAAGTGTGCTCAGTGTGTGTTCTCGCTGGGCAAAAATGGAAATAGAAAAAAGGGCCTAGGGACGGGTTAGGGCGGCCCTTTGGGAGAAAGGAAGGGAATGGAGATTCCAAAACATACTTAGTTAAAATATTGAGGATGCCTCTCTGTCTGGTTCCAGGTTAAGGACCATCAGGGGAGTAAGGGGCCAAAAGACTCTAGGGGTGTCGGTACCACCATTGCATGGGCCCATGTGCTCATAGGTCTGAGTGTGTTTCTGTTGCAGACAGAATATGAAAAATAGGGAGTGGGGGAGGTGGACTGCTGTGGTTTGGTTGGAGGCTAGCCCGACACTCCACAGGGACACATTCTAATCTACGGGGGAGAGGCCCCTAATTTTGGAGTTTCTCATTCATTAGTCCTGCACTGGCAGGGAGGAGGAGGGAGCGCAGGGGGAGGACCTGAAGGGAGGGGAGGGGCCTCTTTATTAACGGATATGTCAGACACTCTGGAGAAGCTGACAGAGATTTATGATGTGCAGATCTATGGAGGCAAACAAAAGGGAAGTGGAGGAGACGGAAAAACAGGAAAAGAGAAAGTAAGCGATACGTGAGGGGAAGAGGCAGAGATGGAGAGAGAGCGGTGTTTATGGTACCGATGGAGAGCGAGCCCTGGATCAATAGTCCGTAGGCTGGGGGCTCGTGCAGGGTTACCGCTGGGGGGTGGGGGGGGGGGGACCATGCTGCTCTGTGGCCCGGGCAATTAAGTTTTTCAGTCTCCAGCAGAGGATTATATTTAGCTGCTCCACAGCGATGTCACTGTAGTCTTTATAGAGCTATGAGCTCACTCCACTACGACAACATGAGCCCCATGCTCCAGCGGCACCACAAGATAGAGCTGGCCAAGAAGCAGATCACATCTATTGATCCCCCCCTCTCGCTGCTTCCTGTTCTAAAGATGCTGCTGGCAGGAAAGAGAGGGCCTCTTGTGATACAGGCGCTGCTGTTTGTCTGACGTAAACTGTCTGGGCCGCACTGGGCAGATCTGGTTCTTATAAGGGGCTGAGTTCAGGATGTTGAGAGAAGCAAATGGATAATGACAGAGCTACTGTCAGTGGGGGATGTGAGGGAGTTGTCTGAACTCCCCACTGTGGGGAGCGAAGAGTTAACAGACTTCCATGCGGACCCAGTGGGGAAGCTCCCTGCTGAATTGAACGGCTCATCATACTGTATGTAAAAAAAGAAGTTCATGATAAGTCTCGTCTGCCATGGAGTACATTTGGGATCAAATTTCTAATTCAGCCTTTTCATTAGAAAAGATTAGTTTCCATTACATCCATTAAGTGGCATGGCCATGGTATAATTTAACAACATAAATGTACAATGGCTCGTGATAACTAGAAAAAGTAATTATAGTCCACTACTGGTAAAAATCCCCCTTAAAAACAGCTTCTATAATAACGTTGGGTATATTGAAAGACTCCAAAGCTGGTGTGGGTAGTGACATCAGACTAAACACATGATACACTGATACCAATACCAACAGACACTCTTTGTAATACTGAGGCATAGGTAGATCATTCCTTTACAACATGTGTATTAACTGTAAGCTATTCTGTTTTACAGCAGTACAGCTCTTTGTCTTTCATGACTGTGTAAAACTGAATGATGAAATATATTGCTAAAAATCTAAAGTCAAAAATAGAGCTTTTTTATTTTCTTGACATTTAAGTGGAACAGTGTTTCTCCTCTTCAGTGACGGAAATGCTGTGATAAACTGTAAATGATGGTTTTGCAAGTTATTGTTTTCTCACATAACCTCTTACATCTTGATGGTATCAACCAAATAGGTTCAGCAGATCCTAATATTACAAATGTATATTAATCGATAAAGTCAGAGAAAAAGATGAAGTACAATCAAAATGTAAACACTCTTAAAATAAAAAAGGCATATGGTAATATGCTGCTATCACTGACCTGTCCAGACTTATATTGAAAGAATAAGTCATACAAATTCAGTTTCTTGCTCCAAAAGCCTTTTAAGGCCAGGTTTTGTTTAACTGCCATAAATGATGTGGAAAGCCAGCCGATATCAACCACAGCACACCTCTCACGTACGCTCAGTAGGGTTTCTTATGTCAAATAAAGAGGGGGGATTATAAAATATGAATGATGGAAATTCGAGCAAAAGCTCCAATCGAAGAGACTGGTTCACTTTATCCTAGAGGTAAAGGATATGTCTCATTTGGTTGAATGTTTTTTTGCACTGTGTTTGTGTGCATGTGTCACAAACAGAAATAAATATTATTCTAAAGGGTTAAGGCTATTTAACACAGTCCAGTGTAAATCACAGGTTTAGACACAGTGACTGTGCGTACAGGAGGACGGAGGCATAGAGCCATGCATGAAATTACTTCATTAATCTTCTTCTGATAGGCCGTCCTTGTTTAGGGGGGACCTCTACCTGCTTAAAACAAAGAACCTGACTCCATCATAAATTGTCCTCTTCATAAGAAGAAGAGACAAATACTAACAGACAAACACACATACATACACATGCAAGGCTAAATGAATACTAGAAAATTAGTAGGTTTATCAGGTATGCAGGAAGATTTAAGTCAAATAAAATATGTAAATGTTTGCTCAGGTCTTCACAGTTAAATGTGTGATCCTGTCCATGGTAAAATAACAGCCCAACAGGAATTTAACTTCTCATATTGAAATGGTGGTTTGTAGCACACACTTCCACCAGAGCCACAATGAATTGATGCTGCTTTAAACACTACTGCTGTGAGTGTCTGCCACCGCAGCAGACATAGTCATAGCAATAGCCTCTAGCTTTTTACAGGCTCATCTCTACCAGCTGTCACACATTCCCCATAAATAGTGCTGGTAATAAAAAGACGGGCGTGCCTAACTGATTTATACGGTAAAGTCCACCACCACACCATTCAGGAATAATTCAACTTTGGGGATATTTCCTAAATGAATGCGTCTCCTCTGGGGGGCAATCTAAACATTTCAGCGCTCACCACGTCTGGTGTCAGCGGATGTACTGCGAGGGAGGGGCTCTGCGAGTGGCAGGTTCAACAACCAGCCTCTCAATGCGGCCATTCGATTGCACTTAGCACTGTGGGGGTGGTCTCATAAGGAGGCGTTTTAATGTGAACATGTTTTGTGACCAGCAGGGAAAAAGACACACAGTTGTATCATTTGAGGAAGAATACACACTGAGAGGCAAACACACACACTCACATTTTTACACTAACAAATGTGTCAGTGATCAGATGAATAATAGTGTTACGATAGTGACGTTGTAAACAAGGGGTTTTACGAGACATGAGACAAACAAATGCAACCTGTAATGAATAACGTTTTGTGGGACGGAGAGGCAGAACCCGGCCTGATAATCAGATTGACCTAAATTAAATACGAAGCATCTCTTTAAAAAGTTAAAAATAATAATAATATAAAGTATGAATGTATTTGTAAATAATTATGAATTATGTTTAGTTCTGAAAACTATCCAATTTATAGAAACAGGATATTATAGAATATTTAAATTTCAGAAAAAAAAAGGGTCCTTGTTATTTCCTGTAATATAAGCAAATGCGTATTTGACATGGGTCAAAAGAATCAGATACGTCAATAGAATTTCTTGTTCAGCACAGAGAAACTAGGCCTGTAGTGGCTGGCCTTTTTGCACACTGCCCTGTTAATGGCTGGTTATTGGTCCCATCTTCTTCCCTGGGGCAAATCAGGGATGAGTGATAGTAGTACTCTCTGTCTCTGGATGACACACCCATAACATAGCTGCTATAGGCGTGCACACTGCTTCAGTCTTTTTTATTTAACGGATGGTGATGCCAAGTCACACAGTTTTTCCTTCAAACGACAGACTGCGTGTTTTAACATAAGCCTGAACGTTAAATCATAGCTTTACATAGAGTGAGAGAAAAAAAGAGGTCGGCCTAAGAGCTGTAATGGGTGCAAGGCTCGCCCCGACCATGAAGAGGAGACTTGGTGAAGCTGTCAGAGAGAATCAGAGCGGCTACCGTGACGGACGGTTTCAATATTGATTTCATAAATAAACAAAGCTAACCATCGATCCTAATGTTATTTTGCATTTCAATTACTGCTCTGAAACATAACCTTCAAACAACTGGCCGTTCAATACCAATAGCCTTCACTGATAAACACCCATATAGTTATGCACCTTACATCACATTTCCTTACCAAGTACGAATTAGTGGACATAGAAAAGCAGAAGCGTTTTAGTCGGCTTTCATATCTAAAACACTACTAATGGTGAATACCGTAGGAAACATGGCAAACACAGAAATCTTCAAATTAGGGTTCTCTGTATTTTCAAGTGTATTGCAGAAAAATTGCACTTATTTTTTCTGAACTTCTGCATTCTAGATGTTTTGTGTGTGTAAGTGTTTGCTCCATACTGTATGGTGTAGATGAAGAGGAGCCCTTCAGTGTTGGAGCAACAGGAAGAAGTGCTGACAAACCGTGTCAGTGATAGCACTCTGCTGCCACAAGGGCATGAGAGCCCACGTAGGCTAGCATTATGCTTCTCGACTAATGGACCTAGTTATTTTTAAACAGATTCTCACACTGCGGTGGAGGTGTCCAAGGTTATCATGGATCAGAAATCAGGAGGGACGCGTGCGGTGACGGCTGGTGGTTTTCTGTGCAGGTTAATGTTGTGAAATAGCCAAAGAGGCATGGTGGCTAATCACTGAGAGGTGTAAAGGCCAAATATCAGATGGGGTCTCAGAGGACAGCATGTTAGAATAACATTAACTGAAAAAAACAATTTGATACTTTCTGTAGTCTTCCTGTTATGTGTACACTGAAAAAGTGTACTCCCTGTAGCGGGTTTTGGCCGCTACACTCCCAATATGACCAATTTGACAGATTTGTATGCATGGTATTGAAAACAAATTATCATATTTTAGAACAGAATAAGTTTGGATGTTGCATGCTCTTTCTATAATTTTCCTCAATTACCTACATACTAGATCATCCAAAAATAAGACACATCTACTACAAATAATTAGATGATTTAAAAGACAGTGAAAGCACTAAGAAGTATGAAGCTACAGAACAGTGAACATCCAGAGGGTCAATATACTCTGCATCCCCATTTGGCCTGGAGAGGGACAACATGCTCCACCCTCCCCCCACTCAGCCTGAGCTGAGTGACATATTTACAGTGAAAGTAATGATACTAGATACCAGAAATGAGAGGGCTCCAGCGTGGCCAGTGGACTCAGGAATCTCTCTAATGAATTGGACAACAAAGCCCTGTTGGTACAAGGAAGAAGTATTTAGAATGGGGTGACAAACGGAATTTTTAAAACATTACTTTAAACAGGCACGCATCCCCACAGCCCCTAAAAGCTCTGGGAGAGGAGGAGGAGGGTGGGAGAGGGACAGGTGGGTTGGTTGGTCAGCTGCAGCTACAGAGGCCACGGCTCCTGGCTCATAGCGCGGTGGCCATTCTCGGCCAGGAGCCTCTTCTGGTAATGTATTCTGAAACCAAATTACCGTAAGCTGATCCCATCTGGATAGTGTCTGTGCACGGCTGCTTTGGTTACCCACCACTGCCTCTAGCCTGCGATAGCATCTCCATGAAGACAGCAACAATCTGATTAACCCAATAACAATGAAACACTTGGTCAAAGAGCAAAGAGCTTTTAACTTAAGATACACTAATGCAATTCCCTCGCCTTGTTTTCCGAAACCTAATAAGAATCAAGCAGACGGACTGCTGGAGATGTTTGCAGGCTCTAATGCAGCAAGCTGGGAATTAAGTCAAATAAATTGAAATCTAATTCATCATTGTGTGCCAACTTGTTTTTGCTTTCTCTAAAAAATACATTAAAAAGCTCTTATTTCATGAAAGGAAATTCGATAGCCTAGTTGGTTTTTTAGCAGTGGCAATGCCCTTAAGGAAAGCCAGGGTGTTGATGGAACATTTAGAAGCAGAGAGGAGTCACATCTCAATTCACTGCCGCTCAGACCGCGTGTGTGTGATTTCTAGCGAGCACAGAGAAACTCAAACTGACAATCCTCAGCATTGGCTGATTTCTGAGTGGCGCGAACTGCCACTGCAATACAACATCAACAATAAGCCTGTCAGACTCTAACAGTAAATGACTCATCTCTCTGCAGGGGCCATGACATATTTTGACTCAAGCTAATGTACATAACAGGGGGAGTGCGTACCAGCAGCAATGTAAGAATACCATTTTGAGGTAATTACATATTATAGAGTATTTAACCTTTAGTAAAATATGTGAATCTAAAAACAATATATCTCCAGTGTGCTGAATAGCGTGTCACTCTCTTCTGAAGGCTAAACTCTGTTTCCATGTTATTCCCAGGCAGTGCCCTCGGGTCAATCTATAGAGTATACTACAGTGATTCCACAACAGTGCCGTGCTAATTACATGGAGCACATACGTCCCACTAATCCTCTCACCCAAGCATCACGGACACAGCCCACAGTGAGGGGTGCAAATACCGCTGCACAATTAGCAGAGAGACACACACTGCTGGAACAAAATGACCAGCAACACTCAGGCCAACGCTGGGGAGAGCCCACAAATAACTAACTGTTGGTGGGGAAAATGTTGATTTACTCTCATCATTTCTTCAGAAGTCACTGTGACACATTTTTAAGCTGAGGAGTTACAAGGGATAATAAATGGCATCCCCATTTTACCACCAACAATTTCCAAACACGTTTTCACTAAAGTTATTTATACATCAAACACCTGTTCACTACTCAGCTTTGCTCGGTTCACTGTTCATTTGATCCATTAATCAAATGTTTTAACATGGCACACAGAAATGCAACTCCTTTCTTCTGTAGTGTCATTGAATATTAATCAGTACTTTCTTTTATTAAATACACAATATCTAAATCAATAACCCTCCTACTACATGTTTTATGTTTTTAGGAAGAAAACAAATTAAATGTAAAGATGAATTGCACGTGCTAGCGTGTTCAAATGAAGGGACTTATTGTTTTAAATTTGATCAATTGACTATAACAATTAAGAGTCAATTGAAACACATTTCTTAATTGTGTCTGATAACCTAAAAAAGAGATAAGGTCAATTAAAGTCACTGATACTAAAAACATTCTAAACTAATTATTTCCAACATGATTGAATACTTTTTTTGATGTATTAAGGTTTAGTTTTGATATGGTTTCTCCTTGTTGCAATGAATATGATCCAAATGTGTTGGGAAGTGCATTTGTAGAAATAATATTTGAAAATGAAAACCTCCTCAGATTTCAGGATCATCATTTATTGAAAATAAAAAAATATTGTATTGTGGGGTGTTGTGAAGACCTGCTTTCAAATATTAATATTAGTTTTGCTTTCCAATTTAGGAAATACATGCAGGGAAAGCTACAATACAAATATAAATACACTTCAATATTTGATACAAATCTGTTACTGCTGTTGGTGTCATTTTTAAAAGGTGTAGCAATACGTTGAAATAATTAGTTTTAGAGGAAAAACCAAGGCAATTATTTAATGTATGTTTAAGATAATCTTTTTTAAATAACTACTTGACTTAAAGTCCAAAAAACTCCAGTGAACAAATAGGTCAAGTGAAGCAATGTGTCTTTTTACTTTACATTTACACATTATTTTCAATATTTTCATTTCTTTAACATATCATTTAAAAAGACTAAACTCCTCAATCATGATATCAATAAATCATGTTCAATACATTAAAAGATCAGTTACAAAATACTGAATTTAAGAATGTAAGCTGAAATGTTTAGGACAACTGACAAGAAACCGAATGAAATGTAAATTGTCTCAATATGCTCAGTTAAAAGGAAACTGTGAATTAAACGTCTTTAAACATCTGATTGGTCTTCCACAATACCCCACTTTTGCACATATGCTACTTCATCAATAATATCTATCAAACATTGTATATCATGTAAAAACGATAGATTACATTATCTATTAATCTTAACAAATCTCAACACACACCTAATGCCTGAATTTGGTTGAGACATTAACAGGGATATGTTGAAGTTATTTCATTAAATTCGTACCATGACATTTTTTTAAATTGACAAATAAATATGTTCCCTAGCTTGAGATTGACTTTGTTTAAAATGTAAGCTATGGAGGGATTTGCAAAGTTAAGAGTGTGAAGGAGCTGTCCCAGCAGGAGCAGTCCACACGCAGCGCGCCTCGTGCCGCTGACTGGGACACGCTGAGGTTAAAGGGTCCTTTCATTTCTTTCTCTGGCAACAAATATTAAACTGTGTAATTTATCCTCGCCGATTCCACGGCTTCACGTTAATCGCATGTCCTTAAAATATTACTCCCACTGGGCGGCCTGATGCAGGAACAAAGCCATCAGCAAACAACCTCCTAACCCAACCGGACAGGTACCCCAAATTCTTTAGGAAGAAAACACACAATTTGCTGAAGGGCACGCTAAATCAATCAGCGATGCTCGGGGTGACATTTATAAAGACTGGCATACATGATGTGCTCACACAATAAATCTACACACTCGCACACACACATACACTGCGCACCTGCCCTGTTGCTCTACACTGTCAAGTCCTACATGATTTAGGAGCCCTTAAAACAATGAACAAGAGAAAGTGCATTTTTAAGAGTGTGAGTAGAAATGAAAGGGAATACAGCAAGAAGAAGGAATTCAGGAACAACTAAATCACTGCTAAAGAAAGGAAAAAGTTCAGGGCTGAAACTGGTGGGGTTTAGGAAACAAAACTAGAGCAGGCACTGTTACAAATGAGAAGTTAAAAAAGACAGAAAATAAATAAAAACTGCATTACAACAAAGAGGTTAAAAGTGAAGGAAGGAAAGAAGGTGCACCTACTGGTTATGATAGCTGAGAGGGTCGGGAAGGCAAAGTTCTGAAATGTCCATCAGTCCAGTTTTAGCATTCCAGGAATGAGAGGAAGAGGAAAGAGAAAACAATTGAGACCCGCTTCTTCCCCAAATGATGGCACAGCACCCTCAGAGACAACGCTGCAGAAAAGCCCCCTCCAGCACGCTCCCCCCAGCCTGCACAGGTATGTTGGAGCGGCGTGTGTGCGTGAGCATGTGTGTGGAGTGAGTGCGTGATTATGTATATATGTGTTGTAGAGAGAGTGTGTCTGAGTGTATGTAAGTGAAAGTGTGTGTCAGAAAGAGAGAGAGGGAGAGCGTGTGCAGGGGGAGGGACAGATAGACGGAGAGGTAAAGGGGGGTGAGACAGAGAGAGAAGCGCAGGCAGCAGCGGGATGAGCGCTAAGATGGAGAGAGCATGAGAGCGCGAGCGAGGGGAATGACTCTTTGCCTGCTCGGGATAGGGCTCTTTAAGACTCAAGGGCTTGATGAATATGGAACAGCTGCTGTTGGCTGGCTCCGAGGGGCAGGACTTAAAGCGACAGAGGGGCAGGCGGAGCACTGGGGAGGAGGGATCCAAACGCTCACTCACACACACTCCGCTCTGCTCAGATACAACACACACATAGACAACCGATCACACAACAGAGACGCAAAGTAAACATGCAACGTTTTTATCTGAATTTAGTAAAAAATTCTGGATGTCCTATACTCACATTGAAATATGAATGGAGATGTTCAATAGAAGTCTGGGTCAGTGCATGCACCAAGCATTTGTGGAATATCTAATAGAAAAAGCTTTCTTTCTGTATTGTACTCGTACAATTTCAACAATTATTGTATTTTATAGTAAAGCATCCATTTTTTTGTAATTCATATTTGATGAATTTGAAATGACAAACATTTTTTCTCAGTGTCCATATTTCTTTATACAGTATGCCATCAATTATATATAATTATAATATTCATTACGATGAGATCACACAAAGGCAAAAAGAAAGCCAAAGCACAATGACTTCACTCGACAACAACAGAACACTTTAACAAGCAGCTATGATGTCTCAACTTAATAAAAAAAATTGTTTTCGTGTATTTTGTAAGATTTTAAAAGTAGGCTGTACTGTTATACAACACATAATAAAGTCAAAGCTGACAGCTGCCTAAACCACAGCATAGAAGCTCCAGCAGTGGAGTGCATCTGCACTTCACTTTCATAAAGCAATAGCTTTCAACCCACTAAGGACAGTAAATGTATTTATTGAGCTGTGTCGCTAGCTCCATTTGCGAGTGTTACATGTGAGGTACCATTGTGAAACCTTTCACCGCCTGTGAGAGATGATCTCAAGCCATAACTCATATTCTGGAAGCCCATCAACTTCTAACGCAGCGGAAAATCCAGCTCTGTCTTCTCTAACCCCAGCTTTAGGAGCGCCTGTGTTTCACTGTTGATCAAGCTCCGTAAGAATGCAGAGAATGCAGATACCATTTCACAGTCGGTGAGGGTCTCCATGTTACTGTATCCCCACTTTATAAGAGCAGAGCTTACCATGGCATCTTTTTGGGAGAAATGAGCAGTCCGGCAATGGCTGACACTTGGATGAGTCAAGCAGAAAAGAAGCAGCACTTCTCAAGAACTCACGAGGTGTCTGACAACAGTCCTCAGCTCCCTCAGAGTGAGTGAGGAGGAGTCGAGATCTACCAGCAGATTCATGCGAAAAGGTGTGTTAGGTCGTTCTGCTGCGTTGTCTCTCTTGAACAGGACCAGTGTAACCCTTGGAGAGGAATCCAGTTCCATTCATCGGCTCACGTTTCTATAATCAATGCAAAAATAACACGCAATCCCTATTGATCATCACAGGCCTATTGATGTGCAGCAAGAGTGCCTCCATAGTGGCACAGATCACACAGCATCTGCTCTCTTTTTGTAACAAAAACAAATGACTAAATAAATGAAAACCCAATTAAGATTGATGCCAAATCAAACACCTGTCAGTTTAGTTCCTTAAAGAGGAATACAATCACCATCAAACTGTTCTTCAATAAGACAATGTGCTTATAATGAAAAGAACAAAATGAAAATAACTGTTCTCCTCACAAAGCACAAACAAGATACACAATGATCAACTAAAACTATCATTTTAAAAGTTGTGGCATTCTAATCCATCTCTTTTGGATTGTAAAAACTATCTGTATATATTGCATGCCACCAAAACTGTCATAACATCCTTGATTTTGAGTCAAATCACTAGAACACAACATCATTCTAGTAGAGCAAATAGCTGATCCTGCAACATTTTAAATCGAGAGACTTAGTAACTACTCAAAAGAGGTGGTCCTTTCTTATGACTGACAGCAACATTATCCTGGCATCTATCCTGTGTTTGTCTTTCAAGTTGATAAAAGCCTTCACTTGATAAAAGCCTTCACTTGATAAATCATATTTCTGCATATTTTCCTCTGGCCTCCCAAGCCTTGCACTGACACCACACTGACTTTTGTCACGCAGTGTGAGCTATGAAAGCCCTGCTGCTGCTATCGTTGCCTCTTATCAGCTGTTATGAAAAAAAAGTCATGGCATGTGACAGTTGATTTGACAAGAAGGGATCTGATACACATAAAGAATAGAGCTGCACTAGGCACACACTCCATCCCACATGGCATGACAAAGTTAGTGCAGTACGACAACCAGGAGCAGAGTTGATCATCTAAATATTTATTTTTTTAGTTTAAATGATTTTGACTTCCATTTTTTGTAATCATTTTTATAAAATCTGAGATATCTGCATGTATTCACTGTTTAGCTCATGCTTGCTTGTGTATATATGTTGTATTACATGTAGATATAAGGTGCAAAAGGTAAACAGTAAATTCGCTTTGTCAGATTTACTTGACAATAGGTAACATTAGAAAATAAAGTAACTCTAAGCAGTCTTGCCAGCTAATGTAATTTGATAATGTCACAAATTAATAATGACTTTATTTAGTTTTTTATACAGAAGTAAGTCATTAAAGTCTGTGGATATTAACTCGTTTCTGCTGTGAGACAGGGCATAATACTACATAATATAAATTAGCATGTATACAAATACATTTGCAAAAACTAGTATATAAATCTGCATTGATAATGGTTTGCATTTAACACTGTACCTCCAAATTTCTCTGGAAATAAACAGACAGCTAGGCCTCGCAAAGTCTCCATATGTAACCTTTTCATGCATACTGTAATGGTAAAATCAATAACGTAACTCAGTCACCATTCCCAGAGGAAAAGGTACAGTGTGCGGACTACACACGTTTCAATTAGAGCTAACCCGCGTGCACACTAATGTAATTTAGCTACAGGTGCGTCGATGCTAACATTTAAAATGCATACACATGTTTACTCTCTTTTAATTAAAAAACTACTCAGAACTGGGAAAAAACAAAACGCTGTGGTGCGAATGTGAAACAGGAAAATAAACGTTGATGAATGTATAGTGTACCTTACTCGGACAAGTCATGTTGTCACCTCCCCGGCTGAGCACTGCGCACCGTGGCTCCAGGTTGTGGTTGTGCTGGTGGTTTGTCTCTGCGTGTCTGAGCGCTCCGTGTAACTGTCACACACCGCAGCTTCACTATCAACCCCTCCTCCGGCGCGCACCCTGTGGCTAAACAAACACCTTCACCGGCTGCAGCCCCGGGGTGAGCGGGGTCAAATGTGATTCAGAGAACAAGGAAATGTAACCGTTCCGCCTGATTGTCTAGTGAGTTCAACTCCCACTTTTTGTACTATTGTAGAAGTTAAAAAAACACCGCAGAATTTTGATAATATTGACCGTTTTAATTGTATTTCACCGTTTCGTGAATTCCTTTGCACCCAGCAGGTAAGGAAAAGTCATTTTAGTCACTTGGTATAGTTCCCAAACAGCTAATTCAAGTTTTGAATTATGTCAAATGTGTATATTTCGCCTCTCTAGTACTCATAACCCCTGTGGTGGGCTGGATACATTTTCACCTGAGCAAAAGTCAGATGACAGCAAACGTTAAAAGGTTGAACACCACAGCAGTCGTTTTTCTCTCTCCTATTGATGAATAAATAAGAGGATAATAGCAGTGTCTGTTGCAGGGATCACAGCTGTATCACATGTATTCACAAACTCTTCTATGGGGGGTGGATATAAATATGTATGTTTTTCAGTGTAGTTTGGTATGAAAATGTTTTGTAGGTTCAAACTGTGAAGGCCACAATTTGAAAGAACAATGCATACATTATAGTAAATGTAAGCTAATTACCACTAGCCCACATAGTACCCCATGACTGCATGTGGTCCTCGAGTCCTATTTTTTGGTTCCCACCCACCGTCAGTATTATATCAAAACTCAATATATACCAGAAACATCAATATGTAAAATACATTTTCCAATTCAGTATATCTAACTGTACAACCTCTGTATCGTTTTGATTTGAATTGTGATTTTTTATTTCTCTATGAAATGATTGATATCGTTTTTTTTTATATTTCCCTGTCTCATGAAAGGTTTTTCCTCCACACGTTTTACATTATTCATCACTGCCTGACTGCCTCAGCTGTGGAGCAGAGCATGAAGCCAGCTGACAGCACTAACCAACTCTATCATCTCCACTAGAGGGAGGGCTATCTCACAACAAGGCCACCATGGAGCTGCAGCAGAGGTACCCTTTATTTATTTATTTTCCCAGGGTGATAGTGTAATTCATAAACTGAATGACAGTCAGGATAGTGCCAACAACCAGGCGCACAATGGAGACTCGACTGCATTTACTTCTGAGCACAAAAACCTATCCATTACAAACGTGTAATTATTGTCCTTAATAGATTAATTCATGCTGAAAGATAGAAATGGGTTCCAGGCTATTGATGTAATCATTTCGCTGAGGAAATTAAGTGACATTAAAAGAATGATATTGTCACCGTGAAAGTATCATTGATTCTTTTCGAATGCAATTAACTGTATTTGAAAATGGGACCTGCACATTGAGCTGTGCAAGGAGCACTGAGGATCACTTCATTTGTGAGAGATATAAAGACCAAATTATCCCATCAAAGAGAAAATCTATAAATGTAATGGCACAGCGCTTCAGCACTAAGGAATGACAACAGCGGTCCTGTTCAGTTCCCTCTGTTAGGCATATTAACTACCAGTGAGCGGCTCTCAACCACCCATAGACAGATCATCCAGACTGTGAAGCAGAATATCGCTTAATTTATGAATTCATGTGTGGTTTTATTTTTTTATTTTTTTATTAGCCAACATAAACAATCCAAATTTAAAGTAGGAGCCACAAGATAGATGGCTGTAATATGTATTGTCATTGAGATATCGCCAGGATCTATCATTCCTAATAAAAAGAAGATTGATTTTATGAAGTCGTACAATCTT